AAAGTGCCTGTAAGGGTCTCATTGGAATAAATGATTTTTGACTTTTGAGGTACCTGATACAGGCAAAAGTACTTGTTCAACATATATAGTAGTATATCTTAAATTTGATATCTACCATGTTAATATACTTAAACTTGGCACTTCAAAAGGAGTAAGCGTCAACTTACATAGTTAATTAACAAAATGATCTAGTCAGTAGTTGAAATCTAGACTAAAAACTTGTACGTAAGTTATTTCCAAGTAATGTTTGACTTAAATAAATTTAATGCTTACTGCTTATGTTAGAAGATATTTTGTGTAAAGGGTTAATTGCTAACATATTTCTCGTAGGCTCAAGAAAGATATATATATACTTAAAATTCTACTAATATTATAAACGTGAAAGGTTGTAAGGTAAGGTTGTATGGATGTGTGTTTGTTTTTCTTTAACGCAAAAGTAGCTTAACCGATTTGTACGTAGATAGGTGATAACCTGGATTAACACATAGGCTCTTTATCAATATACTACGCGGGTGAAGTCGCAGGTGGAAACTAGTTAATTATAAGTTTGTTGGCCAGAATAGGACGAGTTTATTAATAAACATAGGGTGCGTTAACTTTTTTAGAATAATAAAGTAACCGATAAAAAATTGCGTTCATGTCGTGAATATATTATTTATGATGTCATTCTTGATAAAAAAAAAAAACAGAATGGAAAAAATCGTAATATTCTCTCTCCCGCCCAGCGAGAGGGTGTGAAAGATTCTTATTGACTAAAAACCACTTCGTTGCTTTTCATACATTAGAAATAATATGCGAATAATTAAATAAAAAAAAAATGTGTTGCTGGGTGCAAATCTCGAGAACAGCTGAACCTTTCTATTATTTTTATTATTGTCCAAAAAAGGTTCTTATGAAAAAATAGAGTACAGTATGTACCCACATACTCTACTCTATTTTTAGGTAGTTAGGTAAATAAGGGTACATTAGGGCAGACCAGGAGGAAAGCCGTGGTGAAAGGTAGTCTAATTAATATAGGTATGTATAGACGAAAATATGGAATATACTTGTACATGTGTATAATATGTGTGCAATATTATAAGTGGATATAGTTAGTAGAGTTATGTGTTCCATTACTAAGTTAAGTCACAACGAAGTTGGCCGTGTTCTGAGTAATTTTATGAGACAAGGATTACGGATGCTATGAATATGGTACATAATTTTCTTGTTGGTCCACAGGTCATACTGCGAAAATTAGTGTTTTGTGTGTTTATCACTTACCACTTGTTGTAGGGCACTTCTGATTTCTTTTAAAGTATAAAATTTGTTTTTTTTTCTGCAGAGGTTAAACATCAAGTTTATTTTCCTGCCCTGAGTAGTGTGAAAAATATTGGTGGCTCCAAGCTTGGGCTATACTTTATCGGTTTATTTGCACACCTAATTACTAGCTCCTTCTATCACTTTGTCCTCATAGGACAGTCAGGCTCGACTCTTAGATGTATTAACACTACTACACATTAATACTAATAATCCGTTGATTCATCGATAATCAATATATTAAAAGGCTAAAATTATTAAAAAAAACTTTACGAGCCATTGAAAAGTATAGCACATTACACAATTGCATTATATTTATATAAAATGAGATTAAATATTTGCTTTCCTACATCCGTGTAACATGTTTATGGTCGTACAGAATTTCATAGTCTTTGATGCTTTAGTCCGATCAACTGTGCCCAACTATATTACTTCTACTCAAACTCCCTCAATTTGAGATCCCAGATAGCTAATACAGTGGTATCAATTCGCTTCTGAGGAACGCTATCTTAGGTGAACTATAAAATCCTTAATAATATTTTATGGAAATACTTTTATTATCGCTGCTTGATTGAGCGAAAATGTTTTTTTTGGATTCATGCCAAACCGTTCCATGTGTTGTATTTACCGTTATTCACAGATCTGTTTTATCGACGTGATGGTTTGAGATCTTCAACTGCATTATATTATTTAGTATATCATTATTATAGTAAAACTTTCAGCTTTTTATTACACAGAATTCCCATTAAGATACTTGGAATGTTGGAATGGTAACATAACAGGTTTTTATTCATGTAGTAAAGTTCGAACACATCTTTACACAGGAAATATTAAATGCGAATTTCGGTTTAGGTAAGGGCGAAGTAACCGCAACTTAATGAAAAAAGCAGAGGCAAAACTTTTGAAGATCTGAGTCAGAAAATCGTAGGAGGTAGCTAATTATTCCTATACAAATTGTGAGACTCGGGCAAGTTTACGTAGCGGTCGCAGTGCACTGAAGAACTTTGGAGCTACAACTATACCATAACTATTAAGGTAAAGATTGGTCTGCCGGTAAATTAGTTGACCGGCAGAGTTTAACGCCGCTTGCGAATTTCACAATGAACTATGGACCACTAACTATGAACATCAGGTAGCCTCCCGATAAGATCAATTTGCCGGAGAGCCAGCGGTCTTTACAATCGACGGAGTTGAGCTAAATTTACGACGAACTTCGATGTTATCCGAAGCTAATTTACTGGTCTTACTTATCGACTCGTTTCATTGTACCTGTTGAAGGTATGATTTTAGATATTTTGCGGACTTGAGATGAAGGAACACAAAATATAAGAATGATGTAGAGTACCTATTACTAATTGCTCTCTACAGTTCTATTCGATAAGGCGTACCTTTGTGTTAGAATTAGCACAGTACTAACATTTTTGGAAACAATATATTAAACATAGAAAAGTCTAAAATACATAATTTTTACAAGTAAGTTGCTGGTTGTCAGGGACAGCCTCGAGTCCTAAAGTTTGAACATCTGGACAAACAATACGATAGCATCGTCTTCATACTTGTTGATTGTTGAGTTAAGACTTCGACAGCGCTTCTGCAAAATACTTAGTACTCCTTCAACGCTCAATTTTACATTACTTTCTATTGTCCATAACATCAAGGAAACGACACTTAAATACTACTACTTTAAATTGTCAATCCTTTGTAATGTAACCGAATATAAGATTTTTCATTCAATATGTATGTAATAATTCAATAACAAACGACTAACAACGTCAACTATTTTACTTAGCCACATATCCCGTGTGGATGTTTACTCTAAACCGCGTTGAACAAGATAAAATAGTTCGGCTGACTTCGTAAACAGATTTTGTTCCAAGACGTTGTTTCTTAATTACAAATTCCGATGTAACGGACAGGATTCTCCGCCGGTCGCGAACTGAAACATCCCAATACACAAGTTTGAGGGCAACTGCTTAATTAAATCATCAATATAAAGTCCCTGGAGGTTATACGGTTTGTGCTCGGGTGATGTATTGCTCGGTTTAGTTGTAGATCTTCTAATACAATACTTCTTAACATAATAAATAAAAAGATTATAGCCATTGTGATGTTAGTTTTATAAAGTGTATTTTGCAAAGATTTGGATAAAATCCGAGTTTTATTGAACTTTAATCATATATCATACGGAAACGGTTTTTTATTCGTGTACTGGCGTCTATCATGGTTTATAAGAAGATGGTAACACTTGAAGGGTTTCTAGCTGCTGATCTTTTGGGGTTTAAGAGTATAATGTTTTATGCGAGGCCGTGGCACAAAATTAAACATAATAGAAATATTTTTTAATTTGAAAGATAAATTCGAAATAAATCTTCGAGGTTTCAATTTGATTGCTGAACAGGGATCCGATTAAATCCATTCATCAAAGTATTATCTAATTGACAAATTTAAATTGGAAATTGAAGAATCGGTAGAGGATTTAACTAATAATCAGTTTTGTTGGAAGGCAAAACAAACGTTTAATTTTGACCAGATCTAGGCCCCAGAACAACGTTTCCTTCAAAAGATTATCTAGGATTTCGACAGGATAAGTGAGATCTAACTCGTAATTTCATTTGATCCCGTCCTGTCGATATTCTCGTCCCTGAGGGAGTTCCAATAATACCTGTTAATTGGAAACTAGTCCCTCAATGGTCTGTCCTTGGGTATCCCTTATAATGTACTATAATTTGTTCTAGATGGTTATGGGCATTGAGGTTCTCTCTAGATTTTTGAGTTTATATTGTAGTGCTTTTACCTTCTGTATTATTTTCCTAATTAACTTTGCACTATTTTTTTTTAATACAGACGTACAAAAGCATTGCATTGCCGGCCTTTGGAAGTTGATGTTGTAAGTGATTTGAGGATTGGAGAATTGAGGCTTGTGGATGGGGAGGGAATGTACTGAGCCCCCGGTAACATCTCTCAGACTGTTTCCCGCATTTTGTGTAAGGCCGATAACGCCCTTGTTACACCTGCTTACGGTGCTACGAGTTTCTATAGTCTGATGGTTTGTCCACCAATTTTAAGGCGTAGAGCCGAAGCATGCATCTCTTTCTCTCTCAAAATTAAGTTAACACATATTGTGAGAAGGGTTAACCCTAAATTAAAAAAAAAACACGTTATTGAATTAATAGTTCATCAATAATACAATTTTGATTACGGTTACAAACGTACGATTTAGGATACATGGGTAGTAAATTTGTGGACACCCATAATATGATAGAACAAGTTTGTGAGTATTTTATAAAATAATTTAATTATTCCTGCCACAAGATGAGGTTAGAATAAATATAAGCTTTAGAATTAAATCAAAATGCAGTTACATTATTGATTAATCGTTTATTATGAATAAAAAAAAAAAAAAACGTTTACATTTAAAAGAACAGCACATTGTTTTAAACGAAAGCAAAACCAGACATTCGAGTAAGCTATCAAGTTAATTTTTAATTAGCTGTGCATAAATATTTAAGAAGTATGTTTTTGAATTTAACCAGTTAAAAAGTAATTCAATCAGAAAATAAAACCTCAATAAAAATACATCCCAGTTGTCTCAACTTAACAATGCTTCTGTTGCACTAGTAACACCAATTATAACTAAATAGAAAAAAGCTCATAAACAATTATTATATAAACACAAAAGATTTGTTTTAACGAATATGTCCTTGTTATTGTGGACCGTCGAAAATTCCGTTCATTAATACGATCTTATTAATATGATCGAGTATGAAGAAAATGAAAGGTCGATCCGCTATAAATGGAACTTGGTATTGTGTTGCACCTAAACCGGTTATCACTGAAATGCAAAAAACGAAAATAACGTTAATATTTACAAAGCAAAAAAGTTGGGTTTGTGAAATTCGTCTACTATTATTTTTCGGTATTATCATTATTTGAACTGTAAACACGGTAACTCTACTACTTTCAAGTCATGCTAGGAGCTTATACTTATTCGGAATTATGTGACACACGAAATATTCGTTATTTTGCATGTTCGGCAGTGAAACTGAACAGTTCAGTAACTGGAACACTTGGCTCCAAATACCTAAGAGTCGTAGAAGACAGGTTTTAGGATTTCTTTTGTAAACCTGAGACCTAACACAATTTCTAATATACAAGTATCAATGTGACTTTTTCCGAGTTATATTTTCTTTTCTATGATTATTTAGGTACCACTGACATACGGCAAAGGAAGACATCGTGAGAAAACCTGGTCTTATATAATTTCTAATTATCAGTTTCAAATCGTAAATCTGTCTAGAGCAACCATAGTTATTAATGCTTAAACCTTCTCCGTGAGAGAAGAGGCCTTTGCTCAGCAGTGGAAACTTATAGGTTGATGATGCGTGTACCATTAAGTGGCCATAGGATTTTGATGATGAGAAAACTGTAGTTTTCGACGACCTGGCTATGGCAGGTCGTAGAAAACTACAGTCATAAATCACGTTATATGGTGCATATAACTGAGAACCCGCCTACGTAGCTAAACTAACAAAGTTACCTTGTAAATACTCTAATTTAAATATGTCACACAAAACTTATAAAAGCAAAATCACTTAGCACATACTAAACTTACCTGTGGATGCTCCTGCTTCTGTATGAATTTCGTCAACTATTATATACGCTACCTGTATAGCGTCACTAACAGAAACAGGTCCTCTGTTCTCTAATATACCTTCAAGTCCCATATTTGGGTGGAATACAGCCGTGACTCCGTCCTACGAGATCAAAATATTTTGAAATTGTTACATCATTCAAAATAAATTTAAGATATTTTTTTTCTACGATGTGTTGTATGTCTTTACAGGGATGGGATAGTCCGTCTAGATTTTGTAAACATAAATATAACGTTGTTTTTCAAGGGAGAGACGAGTAGACATGAATGCCCATTTTTTGTCCATTAACTTATTATCTCATTTAATTTCACTTTAATAACATTCATACTATACTCAGTATCTCTCGCTCGCAACCTTGATCTATGAAATGAATTATAAGTAATAATATCTACGAATTTTACAAAATATAGTACTCATACCTTTATTAGTAGGTCCTTTAAATCAATTCGAGTTTTCATTTGGAACTTTGGCAAATTGATTTCAACTTCTGTCGGTTTAAGGCTTGATATCACTTTACCGAAGTAAATAGGGTCATTTAGCCTTTCTACAATCTCCTTTAAATCTCTCGTGTTTTTGGGTAGAATAGTCAAGAAACTAAGATCTCCTCCTACGTAGAGCATATCCAAGGCCTTTTAACAAAAAAGAATTAGTTATATGCCAGTGGTAGTTACGATCCAATTTTACAATGGTCTCGAATCGTACTCGAAATATTGTAGTAAAGTTTTTTTATTAAATGCAAGCTTTGTCTTTGGTGCAAACCCCAATAATTTTACACACACATCACACCCAGACACGTATTAACAATCTGTGGATCATTAAAAGAATTTTTTTGAAAAGTCAGTTATCTAGCCAATACGTCAACTGCTGCAGGCAATATAATATAATAAGCTATTTTTATATGATAAGGAAAAATATTATATTTTATACATATAGATATTTTTTCTCAAGACTAGGGAACCTTATACTTTTATTATTTTTCTTAGTTTTGGAGTCTAATACGTAGGTAACTATGGACAGGTAGGCTTGTATTTAATTAATGTTTTCGATAACTTTTTTTAATCATATCTAATATAACTTAATGCATTACAAACCTGGAACTTTTCATTTGAAAAGTAGTTAAAATTACCACGTTGAGTCATCATTGGTACTCGGACGACGTTACCATTAGATTTGGTGAACTTGGAGTTGTAAGTTTCTCGTTTATTAAAAGGCTGTAACCAATCAGCCTGGAAAATATAAATATTATACATTATAGTATCTTAATCATTGCAGATTTTCAAAGTCATAGGGTTATTTTGTTTAAAACAAAAACCTGTATTAACATAGAGTTGGAATTAGGACACATTTTTCGAGGGGGGTAAATCATCAAATTACTGGTGGGACGAAAGGATGAAGGTGGAAAGAAACTGTTACTAACAAAAAACAACCCAATTCCTTCTCCTGCTACGGGTTGCGGTAGCTTATTGCGGATGCCCTGCAACCTCGGCTGACAGGCGGTAGCTAGGGTTATCATTTTATTATTTCATTCTTATTAAATATTTGCTTCGTTTTGAAATTATGCATTATGGAATCTAAATATCTTGGTTTGGTAAGTGCTTAAGGTCTATGATATAACCTGATAAAAAATACGGTGTACATTGAATATGGCTACGTTTTAAGGTGCTGATCAACTTGGTCATTCACTAGCAATAAGCATTCTTTTGTTCGTAATAGTTCCATTACATACAAAAATAACGAAAGCATTTTAACGAACAGCCTATCAAGCGTTCTAGCCAGCATTCTAGCGAAGGATAGTTCTTAACTTTATTCCAATTTTTTAAAAATTGGCAATGTTTTGATTTGCTTATGAAACTGTTCGCGGAATGTTTAGCTCTGTTTGGTTCGGCTCGTTGTTCAGTTAAATAAAATTAAAAACGGTGGCTTAATGTTCAAGTGAATGCTTAGCTCCGTCAGTATTTTTATAGAATTTTATGTTATGTTATACAGGATTGGGTATCTTTCAAAACATATGTATGTTTCTCATTAAACTAAAAATATTTCTTTATGTGATCGGGCGGCAAACGAGCATGAGCATGCGTATTACCTGATAGAAAGCAATCACCCAATCCCTAAATCCCCAAAATCCTAATACTTAAAAGGTCGGCAACGCACTCGTAACTCCTTCTTTGTTGCGGGTGTCTATGGGCGACGCCGATTGCTTACCATCAGGTAATCCGTCTACTCGTTTGCCGCCCTATCACATAAATAAAAAAAAATCACCACCGCCCATGGACGGCGCAACAACGGGGAAGTTCCAACTGCAGTGCTGTAGTTGTTTCACGCCGAATTTCTGTGAGGCCGTGGTATCACTCCGTTCGAGCTGACCCATTCGTGCTGAAGCATGGCTCTCCTACACTTGTTTAAAGATTATCTAGCATTCAGAACAAAAGGTAGCTTACCACTATATGGATAACGTCAGCCAGGCACAGACGAGTGTTAGCATCAAACATTTTTGGATTTACAATGTCTCTTATTTTACCGTCAGTCTTGCTGGATACCTGCTCAGGATAAATTATATAAAAAATATTATGATTTCTTGCGTCAGATTATAGTTTGGGCAAATACACTATATTAGTGGCATTGCTCGGATATGTAATAGAAAAATAAAGTGAATAAAATACTTCGTTTTTTTCTATATAAATCTAGAGAATTGAGAAATTGATCTAGAAGACGTCTCACTGATGTAAAATGGGCGTTAAGCCTCCATAGAAGGGTTTTGTTTCAATAAATCGTCATCAAACAAATGTATGGAGATTTCTGAAGGTCAGCTACTAATAATGATGTCAGCAAATGTGTACATTTCTTACGTTTCTATAGTGATAACGATTGATTTTATTGATTGATTAATATTGAATTTGGCTAGCGGGGAAGGTACATTATTTTTATATTATAAAAGAAAATGAGTAATTTTCGCTCACCCAATCATTTATAATGTAAGCAGCCAAAATATTTTGACTGAAGTCAATATTTTGTCCATCGGCATCGAAATATCTTCTTGAAGCAGTTATGAAGTTTTGGCTAAGCGGATTTCCTTTGTTTGCGTAAAACTTATTAGCTATTTGTAATGTGACATTTCTTGGTCTCTTGAGTTGGGCAACCAATTTAGGGAAAGCAACTGTTATCTAAATTACAATAATAACAATTTTAATAACATTTTAACGCTAACTATAATATAATCTTTTTATTATAACTTTCGTGAGACATTCTAAATTATTTATTATGTTTTCGGCTTACTCACGTAATAATTTGACGAGATACTCGACTAGTGTCGCGGAATGCTGCTCATGAATATGGGCCTCTAGAATGGCTTGAAACTAGTCGAGTATCTCGTCAAATTATTACGTGAGTAAACCGAAAACATAATAAATAATTTAAAATATAATCATCCGTCTTAACGGTTTATTTAATATAAAGTAAGGCCTTTAAGCTATTGGTAACCTCACCTACATATCACAAAAACGCAACCGTTGTTTCACGTCGGTTTTCACTTCACTCTGTGTATCATTTTGAAAATTTGCAAAATGTGCCAAATTCTAATTGTGCCCGATGATGATTTGTGTCTCCTTTTTTACATAAGCTAATGGGATTAAGAACAAAACTGCCGTAAAAAAACTTAGATGTGGTAAAGATGGCTAAATGCTTTAGCAACATGCATAGTTTGACTCGACTAGAGAGGTATCTTAAGATACCAGCCTAAGGGGACCCCCCACACTAGCGTCTCTCGAACGTCGTCGTTGTGCCAGCGTCCGCGCAACGTCCACCCGACGTCGACGTCGCGTTCGGCAGCCAGCCAGCGCTGGCGTCGTGTGGCACGCTGGCACGACGACGACACGTTCGAAAGACGCTAGTGTGGGGGTCCCTAAAATGGTGACTCTATATTATTGTGCTTCAGTCTTGATTTTTGTCAAATGATAACATGTTGATTGATTGTGCCATCATTTTTGAAGAGTTGCGGATATTTAGTGCTTATGGTGGTTCTTAGGCTTTTTGGTGTTCGCTTACCAGGCTACCAATTAGCAATATTATGAATAAATATAAATCAAGTGCGGATGCACTGTAATCCCTTGACGACAAATAAATCTCATGTTATTTAAAAATATAAGTCATAAATAATATACCTCCTGTATGTTGTTAAAATGTAGGACATCAAGTAGCTGTTTCTGTGCCCTCCCTCCAGAAAATAAAGCTAGTTGGGCCAAAGGTAGTAGTGCTGATACACTAGATACCACGAAGCTTTGGTGTGGGTTGCTAGACATCAGTTGCTGAGAAGAAACAATTAATTTAAAAACTAAAAGTTTAGGTATCATCAACATTTGAACAAGGCTCAAAAATTTTACATATTATTATATGGACATAGTAGCTTACAGCATATTGTGATCTATGGACACGATCTAGTAGATGTACAGATAGATTTTGGTTTTGTCCCTACATTCGATTTTTCTCCCATGTCGTGGGTGCGTTTCCAAACGTACAATTTCACATACACATCACACCCAGACTTTGAACAATTTGTGGATCACACAAAGTGGTGTTCCGTGCGGAAAAAAAGACCACGACCGTTGCTGTCATTAATTAAGATATAATTGCGATTAAATAATGATATGGGCTACTGTATCTATTGTAGAAAAACTATCTGTAGGTACTTACGCTTGCAAAACTTCCAGCCAAGTGATGGGATCCGGTAGAAATCTGAGCACGTAGTCTATCATCCACTGTAGATGCGTTTGCTAATAAATTATAACACGTGTTATATGAAATATTTAGAAATTATAATCTTTCCTTTTTTTTGTCTTTTAATAATATTAAAGATGCTATTTGGTACAAAAATGTTAAATAAAAAAATACTAGTAAAGTTTTCATGTTGAAGCGATTCTATGTTTTAATGCCCGCCGTTTTATTTAAATTATATATTAAATCCGATTCCGATATTTGTTAAAATCTACATTGGTACTTTTTAATATAACTTTTAGATTTCGTGTATGTAATAGAATGCAACTTACGATCGGTCGAAAAACCGCATTTACAGTCTTACTTCTAAAACCTTTTTTATATTGGGTTACATATGTATTTTTTCAGACAAGAGTAATTCCAGAGATAATTACTTCCATTCAACAAACAAATAGTCAGTAAACAAACAAACGGATCACCGCAAGGCAAGCAATCAGCAACGTCCATGTCACTAAAGAGGTACAAGTGCGTGGCCAGCTCATTGTTGGGGATTGAGAAAGGTAAATAGTAATACTAATAGATAATGACATTTTTTTGATTTAGATATTAAATAAATAAATATAAATGTATTGTAATATACAAATAAATGTAGGTATTTATTAAAATCAAAATCAAAATTAAATCATTTATTTCGAATAGACCACAACAGGTAGTTTTGAACGTCAAGCAAAAAAAAAATATCAAAAGGTTTAACTTTATGCGTGTCAGTCTCTGTCCGTCTGTCAAGCTATTTGCTCGTTCCAAAGTGTAGATTTACGGAGATTATGGAGAAGAACGAGCAAGGAACTCCATGGTTACTCTTTATCAATCAGTTTCACAATGCATTTTCTTTGTTACACCATTTAGTTAGTTCTATATTACGTATAATACACATTTTATATACCTAATAACTTTTTTGTATTATATTTTCAGACAAAGTGATTTGAAATTGATTTCACGGTCAGCAAGGTTAAAATGAAATTGAATTGAAAAAATTGGGATTGAGTTATGGTAATCGTCAGTCATGGAAATTACTTTAATTCTGGATTAGTACTCAATGCTAATAAAACCAAATTAGTAATAATAAAGTCGCCATACTTAAAATGCTATTATCCTAAAAATATAATTGCTCACGATCATAAATGTTTGCATGACATTCGTACGGGGACATGTAACTGTCCTCGTATAGAGGTAGTAGCTTCTCAAAAATATCTAGGACTTGAGATAGACAACAAATTTAACTGGGGCAAGCACGTTGAGCATATTTGTAATAGGTTAAGGCAATTTTTAGCTAATATTATAATTCTTAAAAACCGAATACCCTTCAAAGTTAAACTTATGTTGTATAATTCCTTAGCTGAATCATATATCCGGTATGGACTAAGCAGTTACGGTAGGACTTTTAAAACTTATCTCAACCAAATATACAAACTGCAACTAAAAATTCTTAAAAATATTGTGTCATCAAATATAAAAAACAAATTCAGGGACAATGATCAAGGATTATTCAAACATTGTAATGTATTACCCGTTCACACGCAATTTAATTATGTGATACTTAAAGAACAATTTTTTAATGACCATTTAAAAAAACTTATCCAACACTCGCTCGGGTGTATACAGGATACACCCGAGCGATTGCTCGAAACCGGCTTTGCACAGTAGGTGCCAACAATACTTACGGCGAGCGCACAACATCTTACCTGGTTCCTCGTTTAATTAATAACTTACCCGCAGACATACGAAATGCTATAACAAAATGTAATATAAAAATTAAACTAAAGTCTTACTTTCTGCAGCTTTTGGAATACTGATATTAGATTGGGAATATAGTTACCAATATCCTAAATGTAATGTCCCTACATATGTAAATAAGTAAATATTCCTTAAACCTAGATCTAACAATCTTGATGTAAACTAGTAGTAGCATTAATTACAAACTTCAGTAGTTTATGAATGCTATGTATACCTATTCATGTTTTTGTTTTTTTAAATGGTAATAAAAAAAAAAAAAAAAAAAAAATATAAAAATAATTTAATTAAGTAGGTAGAGTTGTTTTTTTTATATTCCGCAGTAAACTAACCATTGAGACGCATGTCAATAATAAGACACAACACAATACGAGTAATATAACATAGTATTAGACATGTTTTTGTTGTTGTACATTTACTTAGGTTTTTTTGTGAGGGGAAAACATCTTATGATTTCTCTGGGTGAGGCAAGAGGGAGATCTAACATAATCTCTCATGCCATTCAGGTGGTTACTAGGTTTTCACGACAATTCCTTAATCCTTTAGCTAATAACCAGAACCAACAATAAATTAGTTAAACTATAATTTCAATAAAAATCACGTTTTTCTGTCGTGGCTAGAAACTTGGTGAAGAAGTCTTAAATGTTTACTTTAGTTAAGCCTTTGTGGATAGAAAACTGTTAAACTAAGGAAAATCATCCGTGACCTACGAGGCGGTTATCATGTAAATAAATATATGATACAAAGCGTGGAATAATAAGAGCCAGAGAGAACCAGAATGTAAATTGCTAAAAAAACGATAAATGGTAAATAAAGCAGTCATTTCGTTTCCTTTCATGGGATCACAGGATCCCGGACCTTTGAAAGGCGTACGAGGAGCCGAAGCCAACTCGCAGAGGCCCATTGAACAATTTTAATATAAATGTGATGGGACCTCAGTCGGCAATTATCCCTGTATGGTATGCACTATAACAGTGCACCTAAGGACAATCCCCGTTTGATGCAGGACTATTGTGAAATGTGGTAAAAATTGATAGGGTTATGGATATCGGTAAGCAGTCATTTTATCATTAACATTACGTATAAGATAAAAGAGAAAGACAAACATAAGGAAAGAAAACAAGAAGAAGCTAAAATTAAAATTCGAAGGCCCATTAAACACAAAATACAGTTAAAAGATATTTACCGTGACATATAAGAATAATAGTCGTTACTACCAAATGAGATAGTTTGAACAAATTCAATGATAGAAGTCCCATCTTAAAAACACCTTATGGTTCTTACTCTTGAAACTGTATTGTACTATAATGCTATCAGAATTTCTCTAGTATTTATAATGCCGAACCCAATCACACACGTATTTTTAGGGTTCTACCCGAACGTATGTAGATCACATTTTGATATGGGTTTATCAAAATTTTCAATTGAATAAAATATTATATTTACGATTTATATTACTCCTTTTTTATGTGATAGGTCGGCAGACGAGCAGACACCCGCAACACCAAAGGAGTTACGAGTGCGTTGCCGGCCTTTTGGGGATAAGGGTTTCGGATATTTAAAGATTGGGAAGGTATGGGAAGAGGGGACGGGATTGGGCCTCTGGTAACCTCACTTACACGGCGAAACTCAACGCTGTGGTTGTTTTACGACGGTTTTCTGTGAGGCCATGGTATCACTCCGGTCGAGCCGACTCATTCGTGCCGAAGCTTGGCTCTCCTACACTTAAACACCTTTCGAAGGACTGCAGAAAGAGATTCCAATCAGGAATATCCAGTACTTATGTAATTCTGTTTATATGCATCATTGTATATTCCATATGTGTGTTATGTATAAAATAACACATAGGATATATAACTAAAATAACACATAGAATATAGGATAATACAAATTTTAAAACCGAAATGCATGAAAAACTATCAATTTCGTGACGCAAAAGTATCGAGTCGTCAAATAACGTTAACAAAATGACGAAGCAAGACGCAGCCCAGTTAAGTAGCAGCAGCAGTTTATATCGACTATTGAGCTATTAGCTAAAATTAATAAGGAAAAATAAAACATTCTTTTAAATGTACGGGTCCTTACACTCAATTGAATGAGTTAAATAATCGCCACAGTTCATAACTATGTATGTATTAGATATTTGTCATGCATGAATTATTGTAAACTCTTCGATTATAAAATAGTTATTTATGTACTTCAATTCTGAACTTTAAAGATGTAGTAATACAGTTTTACATCAAAATTTTGTGCGTATACCTTTTTACGTAAAAATTAAAGCGTATTTATATTTTTTAAAGATTTATTTGCGTTTTTATTATAAGTTAATATTAAAGAAAATGGAAACATAATAATTATGTATTTTATGGGTCTGTAGGTGACAGGACCGTACTAAAACTCCGTGGTTGTAAATATTATTAGGTATATAGGTATTCTATACAGTATACCGAAAAATAACAGGAATAGATTGAAATTAAAAATCGAGTAATAAAAATATTATAGTCACAACATTTTTTTTATGTGATAGGACGGCAAACGAGCAGACGGATTACCTGATAGTAAGCAATCGGCGTCGCCCATGGACACCCGCAACAAAGAAGGAGTAACGAGTGCGTTGCCGACCTTTAAGGATTGGGATTTTGGGATTGGGAAGGGATTGGGGCAGGGGAAGGATTGGGCCTCCGGTAACCTCACTCACACGGCGAAACACATTTTTTTTAACAAGAAATCTATTTAATTATATATGAATTTAATTACATGGAGCGAATTAAAAAAAAAATTATACCCCGTAGCTAATCTTTGAAGGAACTAATTAAAACCATATCCAAACAATGCACTTTCTAATCGCGGAAAAAATACAATAATTTAAAGAATAAGCGACAACCACAATTTAATTATAATATAAAAACATAAAAATAAACCATAAGCATACAACAATAGGGTTAAAAATTCATTAATTACAAATAAACAATATTTGAATTTATAGTATTTATTTATTAAATAAAAAAACATACGTATTATAACATTTTAATAATAATAAACCAACGATATGATGTTTACATAAAAAACGATAATGCACTTAACACTACAGAGATAAAGTTCAAATTGCCTCATCTATCATGAACTCTAGTACACTACATAGAGATAAAATATATTTATGTATACCTAAGTAAAATCACTTACAACAATCGTCAATAGGTATGCATTCGCCTTTATCATTTCTGACGAGATCTTTTTTACAAATACAAGCTGGTTTGTCATTGTCTCGTGGTTTCGTACGACACTCCTTTTCTTGTCCAACTTCGTCACAGGTGAGAGGATCGCAGACCATTGAAGGATGCTCCTCATATCGTTCCTCGGGACCACACGTGGGAGCTAAAGGATAAAAAATAATTAGTTTCGTTAAGTTATTAATCGTAAAGTCACTAAAGCTCAATGTGTCAGGGATGTTACTATTTAGGTGGGAGGAAATTGAACAGAAGATACATAGGAACATATATTTTGTCATGATGGTGAGAGAACATTTTTTTTATGTGATTTCAAGTTTTTTCATTATCCTAAGCAAATCTGGTGATTTAACAAATCTCACTTCTTTAGTGAGATTTGTTTTTAATCTAGTGAAAAAATAACTTTTGTGATATTTTTAAGGTTTATTTTGTAAGATTACCTACATAATTATAATAATCAGGTGTATCAAAATGTAATATTAACCTCAAAAATCACCACTAGAACATTATTATTTGAAAAAAAAGAAACAAAAATTTAAAAAATATGAGTAGAATAATTTAACGTATCTTACGTTAAGTTTAAGTTAGGGCGCGGTCACTGACAAGCAAGTGCGAGCGCGAGGTTTTAATGGGTCAGCAAATGAGCAGACGGATTACCTGGTGGTAAGCAATCGGCGCCGCCCACGGACACTCGCAACGGAGGAGTTACGAGTGCGTTGCCGACCTTTTAGGGATTAGGAATTGAGGAGGGATTGGGGGAGGGGAAGGATTGGGCCTCCAGTAACCTCACTCACACGGCGAAACACAACGCTGTGGTAGTTTCACGCCGGTTTTCTGTGAGGCCGTGGTATCACTCCGGTCGAGTCGATCCATTCGTGCCGAAGGATGGCTCTCCCACACTTCACATAAGTACAAATTTTAAGAAAGAAATCATTAAAATCGTTCTGTAGTATATTCTTTGTGACTACTGCTGAGCAAAGGTCTCTGCTGACATGGAGAAGTTTTCACCATTTATCACCACGCTTGGTCAAGTCGGATTGGCGATTTTAAACTTTGAATTAGGAATTAGAAATCTAAATAATTTCGAAAAAAACACGTTGCCAAATTTCAAACCCGCCTAATGCATAAGAAGTATGAATTAAAATATAATCTTCAATATCGTTTAGTACTTTTTAATAACAACCAGATACTTACTGCAATTTTCAGGTAGAACGCATTTCTTTTTATTATCATCGTATACGTAATTTTCTTTGCAGGCGCAGCCGCCCAAGTAACAGCCTATAGCGCACTTAAGATCTCCTTTCTTGTAGTCAGAACAACGCCTTCCGCAGTAATTACCACAGCCGGGTATTGCGTTTGGATCCCCTTTGCACGATACTGGAAATTAACATTATTAAAAGAAACTTTAAAAACATTTATTGTGCATTGTTCTCGTTTTCATATTATCCAGTTGAACTAATTTTCTTAGGAGAGGTATGCTACATAATAAGTAGGTAAAGCCTATGTTTAGGTGGATAGGGTTTAAAATACAATTTTAATACATTTTAAAAATATAACTGGTATTTTAGCAGAAACTCTAATTATCAGTCAATTGTTTTTTTTTATTTTGATATTAAATACTATTATAAAAAATATGGTTATGTACCTACACATATACACTTGATATTCATTTATATTTTTAGTGATATTCCTTATGTCCCCTATTGGGCTCCACCACGTTATTATCTTGTAAGAATTCTTTTAACCGAGTTATTAAATATGTTTTTTTAATATATGCAAATATAAGACAATGATGATTATTTAGACAATACTGACATACAGTGAAGGCAAACATCGTGAGGAAACCTGGACTTATGATTTCTAATTACAAGCGTGGTGATTAATGCTCTAACCTTATACCTATGAGAAGAGGCCTTTTCTCAGCAGTGGGCACTTATAGGCTGATGATGATGATGATGAAATATAACACACCTACACAGTTCACACGAAACTATTACAGACTTACCATTACATTGGTTGATAGGTATACAGATTCCGTTGTCATCTCGAGCGTAGTCTTGTAGGCAATAGCATTGGGGAATGCACTTCTTATATTTGATAGGACAATTTGTTTGGTTCTGTTGCGATAGTGTAGAGCAGACGTTATCACATGTACCGCAGGAGAAGTACTCGTTCGGGCCAGTACATTTTACTGTGAATAAAATTGTTAGTAGTTAGTAAGAGTAATAAAATATTGGAAAGGATATAAAATTATGAATTGACTGGCAACATGTTCCGGGATTTTTCGTTGCGTAATGTCTAAGCATAGAGTTTATCTACTGACTATTGCTACATGGTTAAATAACTTAAAAGATTGAAAAGTATCTTTATGATATGTTTTCTTTTTTATTTCTTGAATAGTAACCTATCGCAAGACATACTAAAATCTATTGAAAATTACGATTTATTCACGCGAGTCAGTTCAGTTAGTTATTTTAAATAAATTTTCATTTCTTGATCAATCTTGTGGCAGCTATGGTTTAACATTCAAAAGTAACTTAGATAAATTGGAAGCCCTTCAAATTAGATTTCTAAAACTACTTGTTACTAAAAAAACTAGAAGCAGCTGTAAAGGAGACTATAGAAAATTATTTAAAATATGCAAAATTTTACCGATTACTCTAAAACATAGATATCTTTTAATGGTTAACCACCACTGTATCCAAGAGCATAGCTTAACTTATGTAAAGAACAACCATAATACACGATCTATGGCTGCTGGTAGATTTAATGTACTACTTTGGTGACAGAACATTAAAAAAGAGAATACCTTATTTATTAAATAGTCTGCCGGCAGAAATAAGGAGTGAAACAAATACAACAAGATTGAAGCGTAAATTAAAATTATATTATTTAGAAATTATTTAAGATTTATATGTATATGTAATTGCAAGTAAATTATCTATACAGTATTTATTTATAAGTAAAAATTGTTATTAAGGAAACTCACTGACCCCACAGTCAAACCATTACAACGGTTTTGTGGGGCTTAGCACAAAAGATAAGGCTACATTTGTGAAAAAAAAAATAATAATAAAAATAAAACTTCTAACTAGTTTTTCTTTTAGTGGGTATTTTTGACTAGCCATAATGACTCCCACTGGTGTAATCTTTAACAACTTTATTGTCATAGTATTTCATCAATACTTACAACAATCCTCTTCAGATATGCACTCTCCGATTGCATTTCTATAGTATCCGTCTTCACATTGACATCCTGGAGTACAATGTTCTTCACCTTCAGGTGGATTTGGGCAAGGATAGGCCCGTGTAAGGCTTTCGCAGGTTTGAGGCGGACATGTTATTTTGCACTTAACGTAAACTTCATGAGGCATCGTGCATTTATCTGTTGTGAATAAAGTTTATTAAATATATAATATTGATAAAAATAATTATTATTTAATATTGATATCCTATGTATTAATTCAGGGTATCACCTATCTACATATCAAATTTCAACTTAATTGGTTTAGCCGTTTTTGCACGAAGAAATAACAAACATACACCCATACATTCTCCCCATTTGTTAATAATATTTTTTTTTAATCATAATTGTACTAAATTATTCTTAATAATATGATACTTATGTATGTTTTCTATTTTGACTTGAATTTACAACGAATAGTCTGTAGTTATTCTATATCTGTGTGCTAAATTAGTAAAGTGAAGAAATACATTTTGAGCAAAAGAAATTAAACCACTTTTTCATTAAAAAATCCCGAACTTTAAATGTTTTCGGTTATAATACAATACACATAAATATTAAAAAAAAATTAAATACTTTTTGATCTGAACACTTACTTGGGCATTGGTCTTCAGGTAAGCAAACACCGTCACTGTTCCTCAGGTATCCTTCCTGGCAAACACACGCTCCAATGCACTCATCAGACTCGGAAGAAGAATCAGAAGATGATTCCGAAGAAGTATCAGAAGAGTCAGAAGAAGTTTCAGAGGAATAAGAATCAGAAGTTCGCGATGTCTCATCATTGCCTTCAGAAGTGTATTCGTTTATTTGTGAGCATTTCGTTCTCTTTAACTCTTTGTTAGCGCACTGCTTGTAGACTTCATTTGATCCGCATGTTGGTGCTAGATTAAAAATATTTCATATTAATTATTACAATAGATAAAATAAGGTCGCTTATAAATTAAATGCGTATTAGCTTTTATTCCAAGAAAGCAAATATTCAATATCACATCTCCACAACTGGACTCGGTACAATGGTTGGTGGTCGGTAGCGCCAAAGAGTTGCTTGAGTACTTACTACAATCTTTAGGTCGAACACATAGTCCTACGTTGCTGTCAAATACGTAGCCATCTTTGCAGTCACAGCCGTTAAGTTTGCAATACAGTGGACAAACAACGTTCTTTTTCTTGTAGTTAGAGCACAGTCTACCGCAGTTCACACCACAACCTGACTTTGCATTTGGATCACCTCCGCACGATGCTGTGAAAAATAAATGAAAATTTATTTACATTAATAGTAATAAGTTCTTGTCAAGTATGATAAAAATTTCTTTGTAATCGATTTCGATAATATTACCATAATTTTGGTACCATTATCGAAAACGTGCAATAAGTCTGTTAAGAAAACATTACCTTCCACAGCCTTAACAATGGTGTCTAAGACACCTCTGATCACAAAAGTTTGTAGGTAATTTAAGTTGTAAATAAAAAGTTATGAGGCACACAAATATTTACTTACGGCAACTATCAATAGGAACACATTTGCCAGTATCATCCCTGACGTAGTTGTCTTTACAGATACACCCAGGATCTCCTGGACATGTGTCGCTGGCATTACCGCTCAGTGCTGGGCAGTCTATTGGGAATCCCAGCTGAGAACAGTACTGTGGTGTACACAGAGCATCTGGACAGTCATTGCGAATTTCATTTTCGCCGCATTGTACTGAAAAAAGGCATGTTGAATTATTGATTATGGTTCTAAGCTTGCGGAGGACAAAAATGCCTTATTGACATTGAATCATAAGCATCATTATCAGTCTATAAGTGTCTACTACTGAGCAAAGGCCTCGTGTTACACGAAGAAGATTTGAGCATGCTTGCTTAAGGCTGATTAGCGATTTACAGCTTATAATCAGAGAGTCAAGAGTTACGAGAGAACTCAAGGTTTCCTCACAATGTTTTCCTTCTTTTCTTTCTCCACAGTATGTCAATGACGTCTAAATATCATAGAAACTACATATAATCGGCAAACACATATTGGTACTTTCCAGGTTTCAAATCCGTCATGCACGAGAAGTGGGCACATTAACCTTCGGCCACCACGACAGACGTTGACATTATTTATATGTAAAAAAAAATGTTGCAAAAGAAAAAGACATGATGTAGCTTAAAAATATCATGATTAGTTCAGGATAGCATAAATCTAAATCAGCACTTTGAACCGACTCTACAAGGGCAAAAACTTATATATTTGGTTACCTGGACATTCTTCTTTTTTAACACAAGTTCCATTATCAGCTCGTAAATATCCTTCAACACAGATACATCCTTTTATACATCCACCCTTAATAATGCTGACGCAAGGCACTGGTTTTCCCAACTGAGAACAGTTTCTAGCATTACAGCCTCCATTGACACAATCGGAATATTCTTCATTGTCTCCACATGTTGGTGCTAAAAATATATAGGTATAGTGTATTAACGTAGAATTATAGGTTTTCGTATGCTGTTAGTTGCATCGTTACTGGTGATTTCTTTCTTCTCTGTTTTTGGTTTAGAATGCAGTTATTACTTAAGAGTTAATAGGCACAGTGAAATAAAGTAGCGTAGATTTATTTGCAAACAGCGTCGTGTCAAATTTGTAGAAAATTTTTGCGTTCGGAGGAAATTTTTGCGTGATTTTTTACTGTCTATGCGGATTCTTCCATAAGACTGTTGAAGTTGTTTATAGAAATGTTAAATCAATACGCGTAAACTTTATTTGGCTGTACGTGTTCAGATAGGTTTAGTTAGGTGTAGGTTAGATTTCAATCCCAATTTTGGATAAAAGACTTCTTCATAAAAGTCTGGACGTCCAGAGATAACGATACTTTTCAGCGTGTTGGTAATTCCTATGAATCCTATTATATCATCCTAATAATTCTAGTCTATGTTTTTATAATAACTATCGTGAGACATACTAAATTAACTAAAATTCGCGGGTTACTCACGTGCAAATGTTGAGAAAAACAGACAGACAGAGAACAAACCTCAAAACCCAACACCACCCAAAATATACGGTTTGCCCAAAATCCACAAACCAAACTGGCCCCTAAGACCTATAGTCAGTCAAATAGACGCACCTACCTACAACCTGTCGCGTCATTTGGCTACTATACTGCAACCATTTACCGGTAAAACAGACTCCTATGTGAGGGACTCTCGCCATTTCGTCGCCTTACTGGCCGATGTTCACCTCCAAGACACAGAGATGATGATGAGTTTCGACATAACATCGTTGTTCACAAATGTACCAGTAGAAGAAGCAACTTCGATTATCACCAACATACTGAAGGATACTGATTTACCTACTGGATACATTGCGTGTGTGAATCATTGTCTCACCACAGGTTACTTCCTGTGGAGAGGGGAATACTACCTGCAGGTGGATGGAGTGGCTATGGGGCCGCCACTGGCGCCAGTGGTGGCTAAAATCTTCATGGAGTGGTTTGAGGGTCAAGCCTTGGCATCCGCCCCGGTAAGACCGCGATACTGGTGGAGGTACGTCGATGACGTATTCGCAATCATCAACCGGGAACATGTAGCTGAATTTGTGGGACACTTGAACTCAGTGCACGGCAGTATACAATTCACCACTGAAGAAGAGAGAGAAGGGATGTTGCCGTTCTTGGATGTCCTCGTAAGACGAGAAGAAAGTGGTCGATTGTCACACACAGTGTATCGAAAACCGACACACACAGACCGATACTTACGAGCTGACTCACATCATCATCCCTCCCACCTAGCCGCTGTCCCGCGGACTTTGATAAACCGGGCGCTGAGTCTATGCGATCCACAGTACATTGACGACGAATTTCACCATTTAAAAAGGGTACTGGAGAACAATGGATACAACTGGCGTCAATGTACTCGACTAGCGAGCAGCTCGAGTAGGAAGCGACCAGCAGTTGCGGAGCGGACTCCAGCGTTCTTACCATACGTGAAAGGAGTAACCGACAGAATCGGACACCTGCTGCAACGTAAATATAGCATCAGGACGATCTTCCGCCCACCCGGTCAGCTGAGACAACTGCTACGCTCGCCAAAGGATAAGGATCCACTAGCTGTACCCGGTGTGTATCCATTATACCTTGCGACTGTGGCTCAAGTTACATCGGTGAAACTCGGCGCAACATCACAACCAGGCTAAAGGAACATATACGTAGCGTGAAGAAGATGGACATCCAGGCATCGGCTGTGGCTGAACATGTTTGCGGCACGGATGCGGCTCACTTCATACGTTTTGATAAGGTCTCCGTACTAGCGAGGGAGAAATACTTCGTTCCGCGAAAAGTGCGAGAGGCTATCGAGATTAGCCGACGTCCGTGTTTCAACAGGGATGGTGGCTGGGCATTGCCACCCGCGTGGAAGCCGAGCTTGGAGACTACGTCGGTCCGAAGCGTATCCAGTCTGGAGTGTGACACAGTAAGCATCATATGTAACACAGACTTTGTGCCGGGCCCGGAATCGAACCCACTACCCGCGCCACTGGTGAACGTACCGTGCGCCTCAACATCGTCACACGCGCCGCCGCCGGAGATGGCAGCAAACGCGCGTGGTATCCGGCAGATGGCGCGTTGGACTCGCCGCAGCGCAACCATCAACAGCGATGCAGGCGCCAACGCTAACCAGTAGGCTGCGCGACGTCGCCGCGTCCGCGCACGCTGCTCATGAGGAAGAACCCCTCTGTGGTTCGAAACTAGTAGAGCTTTTCTCAACATTTGCACGTGAGTAACCCGCGAATTTTAGTTAATTCTAGTCTATGTTTAGTTGCCAAGTTTGCTATATGTCTAAGTTTAAACAGTTTAAAACAATAAAATTGTACTCACTACATTGTTCAGGCAGAACGCATTCGTTAGTATTGTCATCGTATACATATCCTTTTTTACAGTCGCACCCATTCAATTTGCAAATTCTGGGGCAAATAACGTGTTTAGCTTTGTAATTTGAACAACGTCTACCGCAATTTATACCACAACCAGATTCTGCGTTCTGATCACCACCACAAGATGCTGTAAAGAAATGTCGTGCCATTTTTTATTGCAAATCCTAATGACAGTGAATAGTATTATTATTAAAATTTTCTTACATCCTAATGGTGACCAACTATTAAGCTTTACTTGAGGCATTTCAATGACTTATTTACATTAACAAGTAAGGGTATTCTATTGGAACATATATTTATTATATTACTATTAGTTCTATTAGTATTTGAAAATGTGAAAAAATCTCTATTAGTTTCAAGTGACAACACCCACCAGTCAGCTACGTGACGTCACCGCAAAGCGCACGCTCCTCCATGCAATAAAAGTCCCGTTGTGACTTAAAACTATTACAGCTTTTTTCAGATAATTCAGGTGTTTTGTTTATTTCAAAAAAGAAATAGCAAATCTCACGATCGTCACTATAAAAAAACTATCCTGCAAAAAACTTACGGCACTCCTTTTTAGGTATACAAGTTCCTTCTTCATTTCTCACATAGCCATAATCACAAATACATGTGGGTTCGCCATTACATTCGGAGTCTCCAGCATTTGCTGAGCAATTTAGAGGAAAGCCTAGTTCGCTGCAAGTCTTAGGCTCGCATATATTGTCCGGGCATTTTTCATATCGCTCATTTGCACCACATGGAATTGCTATAACAATGGTTTTAGGAGTAAGCTTTTTTGCATATCGTCGTTATCATCAAAGGCAGATTGCAAATTATAAGTAACTTTGACTACAATAAGAAAAACGACGACTACCGATATATACCTTTTCACGTTTGGATACTAAAATAAATTAAAGTTCGTCAAAATGAACGAACTTCTGGTGGGCTCTAAAACAAATGAAATACACATAGATGGTGTTTCACAAAGGCAAAAAAATACTCACTACAGTTTTGAGGTTTCACACATTTTTCTTGATACTGGTCGTAAACGTAGCCCTTCCGGCATTCGCAGCCGTTGTATTCACAAAAATCAGAACAAGCCATGTCGGTTCTGTTATGGTTAGGGCAGATTTTGCCACAGTTTACTCCACAACCGGATACCGCGTTGGGATCACCCCCACACGAAGCTGAAACATTGAATATTTTTACACTTTCACGATTTTGATTTTCATTCCGACCCTAAAGGATAATTGAAATGGCTGGTGCACACAGAGCAGAAAAATGAAAAGATTCGTGTTACATTACATTCGTTTGACACCACGAATAACTAAAACCGACTTTATGTTTAGTTAAAGTTCTTATAGACATAGACATATATAAATTGTCATTATATCCAGGGTATATAGCTAAGACGTTTACTTACGGCAATCTTCCTTAGGTATACACCTTCCTTCATCGTTTCTCACGTAGTTTTCAATACAGATACAACCTGGTGGTACAGGACACACACCGTCTACGAAATCGGGACAGGCTACAGGGAAGCCCAACTCTGTGCATTTTTGTGGAGCACAAACTGCAGGTGGGCAAGGCACTGCTATTTCATTGTCACCACACTTTGGATCTGAAGACAAATTTATTAGTAAGTTACTTAAAAAAAGCTTGAAGAAAGTAAAAAAATGACAACGTTTTTTTTTCTTGAGGAAAAACAGCAATTCATTGGGTGTCAGAGTTGCGAGATAAGCGCAATTAAGGTACCGCGGCCTCGGACGGTAGCTGGAGAAACAACAGGAGTTTTTAGTCAGCAAGAGCCTGATACTGACTAACTCTCAGGAGAAAGATCTCTATTGAAGATTTACCCTTACAAAAAAAGTATAAAATTATTTGCACAATATACTTACTATCACATTGATCTATCGGAACACAAGTGCCATTATTTGCCCGTAAGAACCCTTCTTTGCAAACGCAACCCTTTTTACAATAATCAGGATTTATTTTAACACAGCGTATCGGTTGTCCCAGTTGGGAACAGTTTCTGTGACCACATCCACCATTGGTGCACTGCGAAAACTCTTCATTGTCTCCACAAAGTGGTGCTGAAACAATGACGTTGGTAATGATTTTTTAAATATATCTTCTGTTGTATTTTGACATTAGGGTAGAATACGTTATTACTAATATCCCCAAAATGTGTCGCAAGAGCAGGCTAAAGAATTAAATTTTAATTTTAATAATTAATTACATAATACGTAAAATTTAATAGTGACAGCATTCTCTGATAAAAATTCTAAACCTTTTCAATCAAACTGGCTACGTCTGTGTCGAGCGGGGGTATTAATGCAGCAAGTGTGGGAGAGCCAAGTTTCTGCATGAATGTATTGGCTCGATCGGTGTCACCACGGCCTCACAGAAAACCGACGTGAATCAACCACACCTTTGGGTTTCGCCGTGTGAGAGAGGTAACAAGAGGCCCAATCCCTTCCTCTCCCCCTATCCCTTTCCAATCCTTAAATATCCGAAACCCTTATTCCTAAAAGGCCGGCAACGCACTCGTAACTCCCTTGATGTTGCGGGTGTCCATGGGCGGCGCCGATTGCTTACCATCTGGTAATTCGTCCGCTTGTTTGCCTTCCTATCACATAAAAAAGGAGGATATCAACAACCCACAATCAAGCAAATTAAAGAATTATCTGCTAACAATACTTACTGCAATCTTCGGGCTTAACGCATTGTTTTATATTTTTGTCATAAACAAAGCCCTCCTTGCAGTCACAAGCATTCGGATAGCAGATCCTTGGACAAGGTACAGGTTTCGAGTACTGATTGGGACAAAGTTTGCCACAGTTGACGCCACAACCAGCTTTAGCATTGGGGTCACCACCGCACGAAGCTGAAAATTGGAAAATATTTATTTATCTATATCTATAAAAATGGATCGCAAAATGTGTTGGTAAGCGCATAACTCAACAATGCCTGGACCAATTTTGCTAATTCTTTATTTGTTATGTTCGTTATTGTCAGGAGAAGGTTCTTATCAAAGAAAATATTAGAAAAACAGAGGGGAAAATTGGGAAAAAGTGACCCTTTGATAGCGTTCGAAGCGGGGGCGGGCCGCTAGTTACTGATAAAAACTTGATCTTTTTATTGAATAAGTGGTATTTAGCAGTCGTATTCGACACTAGTATCTATGAATAAAGTTAAACTTACGACATTTAAGCTTATGTACACATTTTCCTTTACTGTTTCTTACATAGTCATGTATACAAACACAACCCGGAGGTTCTGGACAACCACCGTCTGTGTAGTCTGGACATTCGATGGGAAAACCTAACTGTGTACAATTTTGTGGAGCACAGACAGTGGGAGGACAATCCACAAATCTTTCATGTTTCGGACATTTTGGTTCTGCAAGAAAGAAAATAATTTTATAAACAGTTTAAATAAAAAAAATATGGGCCACACTAACGGGAAATGCCAATAATTATCGCGATAATTGATAATATTAAACAATGAAAAATATACCTCAAATCATTCGCTTAGTGATCAAATTACACCTACGATTAACGTCCATTATCGCGATGATTAACGGAATTTCCCGATAGTGTGGCCCAAGCATTAGACGTAAATGAGTTGAATGAACTGAGAAAAGCATTATTTTCTGCTTCTTTATTCCTTTGCAATGTTGTGGCGACGTCGCGCAGTTAACTGATCCCATTGCGACTTGAAACTAGTAATCTTTTCTCAGTTCATTCTTGAGTAAGTCATCTTTAGATGAAATCAACTTTAAAATAATGATGAATAATGATCACAATAAAATAAAACAATTTTACGTACTTGGACATTTATCAATAGGTATACAAGTATTGTTTTTGTCTCTAGCGTATCCTTCCTCACAGTAGCACATGCGATTACATTGAATGTTTATAATTGGACAATGTGTTTGGTTCTGTATGTGTATCGTCTCACAAACATTATCACATGCACCGCCACATGAGAAATACTCGTGAGGACCTCGGCATGTCACTGTAAAAAAAGAGCTAGAAGTTAGTTGATGTTATTTTGGAAACAGCTTTATAAAAATCGTGCACTAATATCTGATTCTCTTTAAGAAAAACGTCCGAAACTAGGATTTTCTCTGTCACCCATAACACATATACATTTACATACACATTACAACCAGACTCGGAACAACAATATGTAGATCTGACAAAGAATAACAAGCGAGAATCGAAACCATAACACGATGCACGGCAGCCGGTTGCCCAGCCATGTTAATTAAGTATTATAAAAAATACTTAGTGGCCATGTTAATTAAGTATTATAAAAAATACTTACACCGGTTTCCGAAAGGCCGATCAATGTTAAAATCAATTTAATCTCTTGTCAAGTCATCTGATTGGTTAACAGAATTATTAACAACCAATCAGATGACAAGAGATTTAACAGGAGATTAACTAATCTCCAGTTTCTTTAGCCTTTCAGAAACCGGGTGTAAGTGTTTAATTCAACACATAAAAGTAAATTTCAAGTTCAAATAACACAATAAATGTTAGGTTAGATTATAATTATTCAACGAAATTATCAATATTGAAACAATCTCCAAAAATACTTACAGCAATCCTCTTTAAGTATACATTCTCCTATTTTGTTTCTATAGTATCCTTTATCGCATCGGCACGCTCCTTTACAAACTGCGGTAGTTATGGGACATTTATATTTTCTTCCTATGCTTTCACAAGTTTGTGGTGGACAAGATGGTGGACAGGACTCATAATGTTCATTTGGTCTGTTGCAGTCTATAAAACAAGATATTATGTAAAAAGGCAGGTAGGGGCAGTTGTATGAGAGGATCATACTACAAAAGTATCAAATGAATTGCTAGTTACAAAACGCCAGTACATTTTTATTATAACTTTCGTGAGACATTCTAAATTATTTATTATGTTTTCGGCTTAGTCACGTAATAATTTGACGAGATACTCAACTAGTTTCAAGCCATGCTAGAGGTCCATATTCATGAGCAGCATTCCGCGACACGCGATTCGGCGATTGGCCTACTACTGGCTAGTAGGTAGCAGCGCGACAGTCATGAATAGACATGAATAGACCATATTCATGAGCAGCATAGGCGACTCTATCTACTCTAGCATGGCTTGAAACTAGTCGAGTATCTCGTCAAACTATTACGTGAGTAAGCCGAAAACATAATAAATAACGCCAGTACATTATGAAGTTTTGTCGCTTCGTAATGAAGTCGAAATTCTATTGAAGTAATTATACAGTTGAGGATAGTTTGATGATAACTTACTATCACATTTATCAATTGGAACACAGGTGCCGTTTCTTGCACGTAAATACCCTTCTTTGCAAATGCAACCCTTTATACAGTCATCAGGGTTCATTTTAACACAAGGCACTGGTTTTCCTAGTTGAGAACAGTTTCTGGGGTCACATCCACCATTGGTACAGTTTGAAAATACTTCATTCTCTTCACAACGTGGTTGTTCTGAAAATATGTCATTGATAGGTGCACTTAATAAAACACTTAAGGAATTTTCAGGCTCATTAATCCCTGTAGCATAAATTGAAAAATCGCCTAATTTGCGGAATTTGTTAGACCTCGTAACCGCCCAAACGTACGTTCCAAAACTGCAACCAGACACATAAGAATGGTTAACAGCATTCCAAAATCATATATCGATGACCTAACTGCGATCTCCAAATAACCTGCCAAATTCAGCAGTGGACATCTTCCGGCTAATGGGATTATGAAGTGAGATGAGAATGAGATTAAAGATTTGAGATTATAATTAACCTAATATTGTAATATCCCGTAAATTAGGCGATTTCTGAGTCCCGGAGGTTTAATAAGATTCTATTAGCCGAATGATAGGATCAGCGTTAAAAGTTGACAGATATAGACACAGATAGGCGAAACAGATAGGAGCTCGTTGATCAATGTTTTAGTAGATCCGCAGATCAGGGTTAATGAAGCCATAAAAAGTTGAATATTATAATAAAAGGTACTTACTTGGAGGACAGTCTTTAATAGGTATACAAGTATTGTTTTTGTCCCTAGCGTAACCTTTTTCGCAGTAGCACATGCGGTTGCACTGTATGTTTATAATAGGGCAATGAGTTTGGTTCTGTTCATGTATTGTCTCACACACATTGTCACACGCTCCGCCACACGAAAAATACTCGTGAGGACCTTGGCATTTTTCTAGAAAATGAAAAGAATGGTAATAATATTATGTCAATAATTCTAAAAAACTACACGATGTACATTAGGTAATTATGCGGATTTTCTTTTATTTGTTATACAACTTTGTCTTATTTCCTATAATACAATACACCCTATTTAATTTTATAAGACTAGCTACTCTCGCGTGGTTTCACCCGCTGCTCGGCTCCATTTAATCGTAGCGTGATTTTTAGCCTATAGCACTCAAGAACATTGTAGCTATCAATCAGTGAAAGAATTTTGCTAATCCGACCAGCAGTTCCAAAGATTATCCCTACATACAAGCTTACAAACTAAAAAAATTTACCTCTTTATAATATTAAATATAGATGAAATACATAAAAGGAAAGATGGGTCAATTTAAATTGTTTTTGGTTTCTAAAACAATTTACTGCATTCCTTTTCCGATATGCACTCGCCAATTTTGTTTCTATAATATCCCTCTTTGCATTGACATGCGCCCTTGCAGTCATTTTCGGTAGTAGGTCTCTTTGGGCAATGATATATTTTCCCAATACTTTCACAGGTTTGTGGAGGGCAAGTTTGAGGACAGGAGACATATTCTTCATTTTTACCCGTGCATTTTTCTGAAATGTTAATTATGCATATACAATACCTACTTGAGAACCTGTTTCATAATGTCCGGACACCATATTTGTACCACATCAATTAAAATATAGAACTTGATTTGGACGACCGATATGATAGATCATCGGCTAATTTAAATTAATTCGGCGCTGTTTTACCACCTTTGGATTTTCGAAGAGCTTTTTGGCTTTTTGGAGAGAGTGTCAGACTCTTACTGACTAAAAACCCCTCGTTCCTTCTCCTGCTCTGGGCCGAGGCCACGGTGACTCATTGCGCTTAACCCGCAACCCTGGCTGAACATCAGCCCTATAGGGCACCGTCTGTGGTACCACCTTTGGCTTAAGAATAAATTCAAAATATGGTAAGTATGTACTTACTTATGCAATTTTTGGGATGAACACATTTTCCTTGTTCTTCGTCGTAAACGAATCCTTTTTTGCAATCACAGGCATTTTTCTGACATTCAGTTGTACAAGATACATTTTGTTCTTTGTAGTTTGAACAAAGTCTTCCGCAGTTACCTCCACAACCTGACTCTGCGTTCGGATCACCACCACATGAAGCTGCAAATAGAACAAAAATATCTCTGCTATTAAAAGATGAAAATCGAAAAGTATATGGCATGGATATTACTTTTTTAGTTGCGTAGTTTAGATCATAATATTATTGGAAGCCGATTTTTTATGTTATAAGTCGGCAAACGAGCGCCGCGCGCCGCAAACATTCGTAATAACAAAGGAGTTACTATAAGTTTGTATCCGGCCTCTTGTGGGTCATTACCGATTTAAGGATAGGGGATTTGAGGATTGAGAATAGGTGGGGAAAGGATTGAGCCTCAGGTAACCTCAATCACGCGTGAAACACAACGTAAACGTGTTTCTTTACGCCGGTTTTCAGTGAGGCCTTGGTTGGTATTACTCCAGTCGAGGCAGCCAATCGTGCCGAATCATGGTTCTCTGCCATTTGCCGATGGATGCAAGACGTGTAGGTCGCTTCGAACCGGTTATTTTGGAAGTCATTGCCGAAGGTCTATCATATGTTCGAAAGAGACAATCTTGTGGCTGATATGATGACGATGATGATAATGAATCGAATTAAAAGGTAAATAAATCCAAATACTTAAATACTTACGACACTCAGTTGCTGAAAATACTCCAAATACTTACGACACTCAGTTGCTGGAATACAAGTTCCATTTTGCCGTACATAACCCTCTTCGCACACACATCCAACTTTACAGTATTTTTGGTCCATTTTGACGCAGCCTGTTGGGAATCCTACATCATCACATGTCCAGGGACCACAACCACCATTGCTGCAGTTTGAGAGGACTTCGTGTTTGCCACAAGGGGGTTCTAGAAAATAACGGTATTACGTAAGTACGGATTTAAACAGAATATACCTTATTCATTGATATAGGTAAGCCGACAATAGTTTATCCATAACATCACATTTGATATATAAATATTTGTAAGTGTCACAATCACTTATAGACCAATACCACACTCACTATTAATGGCTTAGCTTAAATATACCTACGAAATTATTTTGTTAATTTTATCCAATAAATACCAAAAGTTACGATTCCTGGAGCTAGTCATGATGATATGTAGAAGACTTCGTTTACAGGCTATTTCGTGATTATCTAAATATTATAGCAGCGAATTTTTGTCCAACTAAAGTATGTTATTATTTTTTTACTTGTTGCTGGACTTTTTAAAACATTCAAGACCAAAATCCCACGAAAAGATTCATTCTTTTGGTACATTCGTATCGCTACATAGTAGAAAATAAAGTCATTTCCTCTGTCCCTATATCCCTATGTATGCTTAACTCTTTAAAACTGCGCATATATAGTATACTATCAAAGAGAGTGATTTAAGAAGAAGATTGTTATGTATAATAAAATTCATTAAACAGCGAATAGCGAAATTTAGCATCAGAATTGTAGACTTGCGGAGCCGGGGCAGGTCGCTAGTAATGTTAATACTTACTACAAGATTCAAGCCGAACACATTTCTTGGTTTTGGGATCGTATACATATCCGTCCTTGCATTTACAACTGTCTTTATTGCACACACACTCGTCTGGTTCAGGTCCAGGACAGCGCTCGGAACAATCTTGATCACAACCCGGTTCAGCATTATGGTCGCCATTACAAGATACTGTTGAAGATATAAAATGTTAGAGACCTGTATGTATGTCCATAAAAGTCTCGATGTTTTAATACAATTGCATAAAGTCTTATTAATTGACACAAAAAGTCAGGAATTGATTTCTTATATTAGAGGGGGACAGACCAACGGTACGAAATGGGATGTAGTAGGACATTGTTTAGATTTTTTTATTGAAACATTTTGTTTTTAAAATAAGAAATTTAAAAAGATTTTTGGTGGTACGGTTAATATATTTTTTTAATTCGTCTACAAACAATATAACGAATTGCTATATTGTCAAAGTTAAAGCCAAACCCAATTTCAATTAGATACTTTAGGAATTAAATAAAATCTGTCTATCGTCTTCTTAGTGAAGCTATTTTCTCGTTCCAAAGTGTAAATATCGATGGAGGAGGAGCAAGAAACTCTGTATAAAAGAAGTAAACTATATTATGAAAAAGATATAGTCTTCGAAGGAAATACTCAGGTCATATTGTTAGAATTAGATCTCATTATTTGTTTCAAATTAAGTAGGCATGCTACAAAGCAGGTAAGATAACAATCGATAAACACATTATTATGTAATCAGATTGGAAAGTTTCAATTAGAAGGCCATTTTTCAGGAGTCGTGCTTGTCACAGCTAAAAATAAGAGATATTCTTATTCGATTTATTTTACGATTCTGTACTACCTGTATTATGAATGGCAAATAATATTATTTATTGATTACAACACTAACGCAAACTATTGTTACAATATTAGCAGTATTTAATTTGATTCGAAATTCGAAACCAACGGTACAACAAAGCCAGTATCCAAAATGTCATATTATAAACTCGCGACTAGCCCTGGTTTCACACGGGTGCAATTCTGATACTAAATTTCTGCACTATTTAATAATTGTTATTATAAATAATAGAAACCGTAAACCATTTTATGTAGTGAAGTACATTTATTTATTAAAGGTAAGGTAACAAAGACCGGGTATACCACGGTCTAGTCTAAGTCGATGCTAGTGTATTGAGTTGTAAGTAGTTAAAAAAGACAAAATAATCACCACAATCTGAAGGGTGTACACATTTTCCAGTGCTGTCATCCACAACGTAACCTTCTCTGCAATCACAGGCGTTAGGATAGCAGACGGCCGGACAGAAGATGCCAGTTTCCTTATAGTTGGAACAATATCTACCGCAGTTCACACCGCACCCTGATACCGCATTAGCGTCACCTCCACATGAAGCTGCAAAAAATCATAATGATGGTGATCGCTAGGAACTTTTTTAAACCTTGGACTACACTAGGTATTTCTCCTTTGTCGTCGGTGCGTTTATAAACATAAAATTTCACACACAAACAACACTCAGTTTGTGGATAACACAAAGAGTTGATCCGTGCTGGAATCGAACTCGCGACACGTGCGGCAGCTAGTTGCCAAGCTACCGCGCCAACCGTGCAGTTAGATTGATCGTTGACAATAGTAATGTTTTGGCTTAATTCCACTGAATTTTGTAGTGTTGAAACACAAAACTTATTGGTCTGAAACCAGGGTAACTTAGAGATTTGGTCAAAATCGTTCTTGCTTGTTTTGTAACTAGCTGAAACAGTATAAATAGACACACAGACACACAAAACACAGAAAACCGGCGTGAAACAACCACAGCGTTGTGTTTCGCCGTGTGAATGAGGTTACCGGAGGCTCAATCCTTCTCCACCCCCAATCCCTCCTCAATCTCTAAATCTCCAAATCCCGAATCCCTAAAAGGTCGACAACGCACTCGTAACTCCTACGTTGCGGGTGTCCATGGGCCGCGCTGATTACTTACCATCAGGTAATCCGTCTGCTCGTTTGCCGATCTACTACATAAAAAAAAAGTTAATATAAAACTTACGACAATCCTTTATCTGTATACAAGTTCCGTTATCCGCCCGCACAAATCCTTCTTGACAAATACATCCCTTGGTACAATGTGTGCTATCGGATTCCAGACAAGGCATCGGGAATCCTAATTGCGAACAATTCTTCGGAGAACAGTCATCGTTGGCGCAGTTTGAAAATACTTCATCCTTACCGCAAGGTTTGGCTGTAAAGTTATTAAATACCTCTTAATAAGACATACATAGGAAGTCAAGGTCAACTAATATTTTTTGAAAAACGAATGATATTATTTTTTGTAGTGAAGAGGGAGTAACTTTGTTAATTTTACGGTCTAAAGGACAAGTTTATGTCAAGTATTGAAATAAAAAACTTGAAATAAAATTACGCAAGTAACAAATTAGGTATACACAAAATGTGACAAAGGGCTGTTAGAACAATAAAAATCTGACGTTAACTCCGATTAAACACGTAAAACAATTAATTTCCACAATGTTATATTATTTAAATATAATAATATATTTACTTAATATTGATTTGTATATGAGTCTATAGATTTTTTATTAAAGAAACACTTGTTTAAATTGAATTATGAACCGTGACCGCTATTGTAAATTTTATTATTCCAAAGAATGGCATGCGTAAACGATCATTAAATAAACCTGTTATTTAGTTGGTTTTGAGATATTTAGTTTTGAATGTGTTGCAATTAGGTAGTAAGTAAATAGACTTTTGGTTGACTTTATTAATTATTTTAAGATAGATCATTTTAGATTGATATTTATGTTTTACTATCATGAAAATAAAATCTGACAATTATATGTATGTTCGTAAACAAAATTATTTTAAAAGCCCTCAAAGTGTTTTGTTTCGTAACATGAATTTATCTCTTGAAATTCTCATAATAAGAAAACAAAAATAAATGGCCCGTATAGATTACTTAACCTTGGATTAGAACCCAGAGTCAAGTTTTAAGTATGGGAGAGTCATGCTTCAGCACGAATGGGTCGGCTCGACCGGAGTGATACCACGGCCCACGGTGAAACAACCACAGCGTTGTGTTTCGCCGTGTGAGGTTACCGGAGGCCCGATCCTTCCCTTCCCCCGATCTTTCCCCAATCCCTAAATCTCAACGCAACGCACTCGTGTCCCTACCGTTGCGGGTGTCCATAGGCGGCGTCTTACCATCAGGTAATCCGTCTGCTCGTTTGCCGACCTATTACATAAAAAAAGTTTCGTTTTTGGCTGACGACAGAAAACTTTGTGAGGCAAATCGTCCACTAACGGCGGTCCACTATTTACCGATATAGCATCTAACTAGTTAAGGTGAAAAGATATAATAAGAAAATAATCATTATAACTTACTGCACTTTTCAGGAGGAACACACATTTTCTGGTTCTCATCATAATAGAAACCATCCTTGCAATCACACGAGTTTGGATAGCATATTTTAAGGCATGGCCTTGTAATGTTGAACAGATCGGAGCAACGTTTGCCGCAGTTCACTCCACAACCTGACCATGCGTTGGGATCACCTCCACATGATTCTGCGAGATAAATGAAAAAATCATAGAAAATAGTAAAGTAATCTTAAAGTCTCAAATTAGTAAGTCTTAAATTCTAAAAGACTTAAATGAAGAGCTTAACTTTATGTAGATTAACAACTAAGATCAAAATAAACCCTTTATTTTGATCTTAGTTGTTAATCTACATAAAGTTAAGCTCTTCATTTAAGTCTTTGAACCTCTAAATACAATTCAAGTGCAACGATAAACAAAAAACTTGAACAAAGAAAATTTACCAGACGTTACAGTTATGTAATAAGTTCTAAAAGTCACTTACCACAATCTCTCATAGGTATGCATATACCATCGCTATTCCTAACATATCCAAAGTCACATATACAACCAGGTTCTACATCTGAGCACGATGTAGGGTACCCGACTTCAGAACAATCCATCGGTTGGCAAACCTGTGAGGTACCGTCATGGTATACTTCGTTTTCTCCACACCAACCAGCTGTAAAGAGCGGAATACCTTTTAAACCAAATAACAACAACCACAATATATTACACCAATATTTTTTAGTAAAAATTACTTAGGGGAAAATAACCAAATTACTTCTCCCGCCTAGGGTTTTTGTGTGAGGGGAAATCATCAAATAACTTCTTCCACCCAGGACCGGGCGGGTGGGAGTTTTGAGACTCTTACTGACCAAAAACCCCCCTGTTCCTTCTTCTGCTCTGGGCTGAGGTCGCGGTGCCTCTGCGCTTACCCCGCAACCCTGGCTGCAACAACAGACATAAAGGGCCCAGTGTGTGGTGGTCTATTGACTCTTTCAGGCGCGCGTGGGACGCTACGCACCATACGCTCGGATCTGGTTCTACAGTTAAGATTCCATCTAAGGTAGCTTAAACCTTCTAAAATCTAAAGTACTGCATCAAAAGGAGTACAACGGTCGTCTTAGTGAGGCTATTGGGAAAGTTCAGCAAGTAGAGACAGAATTGGTCCAATTATATGGTCTCCGTGCTGTGCAGCTTTGCAAAGGTGACTTTATTGTTAAACATAATAAATTAGACAAAATCAAATCACTTACGACATTTTTCTCTAGGTATGCATTCTCCATCAGCATTTCTGGCATGACCATCTATGCATCGGCAGCCTGGCTTACAACTGTCGTCGCCGGGTTTTGGAGGAGTGGCGCATCTGATCACTCTGGGGTCCACATCACATCGTTGAGGAGGACATGGGTTTGGACATACGTCGTATACCTCATTCTTTCCGTGGCATTTGGCTGTGTTAAAAATGTGTCTTAGTATAATAGGTATTTAGATATTTGTACCTATTTTTTATGCAATATTTTTCTGGGTTATAACGTTGTTATTAACAATATTGTATCATTTCAAAAATACAAGTTAAATTATGAAATCATTAACGTAATTTAAGTTAAAGTGTATAGAATATTCTTCTTTGCATTAACCATAATAGTAAAAAATCAACATTTTAAGTCTGTATCTGATCCACAAGGAAAAGTCTGTTCTCACAGGTAGAAGAAATGAGCAATACTACAAACAGAAGCAGCATATCAGGCGTATCTAAATAAGCTTAGCACAAGTACATACACACACAAATACAATCTTAATCAAGTCTTACGATTAATGATTGCATCACTGCTTACCATCAGGTGGGCTTGCAGTGAACTACTACTTTAAATGATTAAAAAAAGAATCTCATTAGACACTTACGGCAGTCTTCTTCACGTATACAGAATCCCTCAGCATTACGTAAGTATCCGTCTTTACATCGGCATCCTTCCTCGCAGTCACATTCAGGTATAGCAGCGCACGATACTGCAGCTATGTTCACACCACAGTAACGAGGTGGACAGTCTGATATACATGAGTCTAGCGTCTCGTTTGTGGGGCATTTCGATGCTGTGGGATTTGAAAGACTTAATTTATTGAAAAATAAGGACTCTCACGTCAGCAAAACGAGAACATCTCTATTAGTCTAGTAGTAATTTGAACAACTGAAGTTAGATGCGCGACGTCGCCGAAATGCGCACGCTGCTCATGAATAACAGTCCCGTTATGACTTGACACTAGCAGAGTTTTTTTCAGTTCATTCATGTGATTAAGTTTTTATTTTCAATAAATTTATAATGTGTCACGATAGTTAGTATTAAAAAATTTAAAGACTATTCATGAAAGTTTTTACCTGTCGGGAGACATACTAAGTCTAATAAAAATAACGACTCACTCGCATTAATAAACTGATAAAAGTTTTACTAGTTTTAAGTTACATCTTTTTGGGATTATTTTGTTCAACTTCCCTGAATAATACTGTAACTCTATAATTTACAGTTTTATAACTACGTCCTTACATATAAGTAAACTTGAAAAAGTGTCATGGCGGTCGCAAATTTGAATCTCGCAATTATAAACAACACCAAAAAATATTGAATTTTCAAACTTACTGCATTTTTCAGGTTTAACACATTTCCCTTGTTTGTCGTCATAATAGTATCCCTTTCGGCAATCGCAAGCATTTTCGTAACATATTTCTTTGCAAGGAACTGTGTGGTTGTAGTAATCGTAGCAGTGTTGGCCACAGTTTGTTCCGCAACCCGATATAGCGTTGCTATCTCCTCCACAAGACGCTAAAAAAATAGTTTTCTAATTAAGTGTATTGCTTTTCATTATAAATATGCGTGCTTATTACAAGAATACCAAACTAGATTATTTGGTTTCATTTTTTCGTATTTAAATGGTTTCAATCGTGGTAATTAGAGACACAATGGAAAAACAATAGGTACGCCAACGCCGGCGTGCGCTTGGGATTTGGGACGTTTCCCTTACAGGGTTTTTTTCGGTTCATTTGATTTAACACACAAAAGTACTCTTGATTTTGCACATCACAAGTTTTAAACTTGTGATGTGCAAATAGCCATGATACTTACGACAGTCCGTCATGGGTATACAATTGCCTTCACTATCCCAGACATATCCATAGTCACAAATGCAGCCAGCTTCTACAGAATCTGTACAAGGTTCAGTGAACCCTACTTGGGAACAATCTAAAGGCCTGCAAATATCTGTGGTACCATCATAATAGATCTCATTCTCGCCACAAGATGGTGCTGTAAGAAAAAAATAACTATGAAACTTGCCTTACGCTTATCAATTTTAATTGACATCACTAAGTGTGGGAGGGCCATGCTATGGCACGAATGGGTCGGCTCGACCGGAGTGACATCATGGCCTCACAAAAAACTGGCATGCGTCCATCACCAATCTCAAAATCACAAATATGTAATCCCCAAAAAGTCCTCTGTTGTGGGGAGTGTCCATGGGTGGCGCTGATTGCTTACTATCAAGCAATCAGTCTGATTGTTTCCCGTACTATCACATAAAAACATTGAAAATCACAAATATCTTTAAGAAGGTTGACCTCCATGTCCATAATTTTTTAACATTTTGATCACTAAGAAACGATCACTAAGATTCAAATTTAATTAAACCAAGTATATAAGACTACTTACGACATTCGTCCCTGGGCACACATACTCCAGAAGCATTTCTTGCATACCCTTCAAAGCAGCGGCATCCTGGTATACATCTCTTATCACCAGGTTGTGGTGGATCAGGGCAATCGATAGTATTTGGGTCAACGTCGCATTTTTGTGGAGGACAAGGGTTTGGACATACGTCGTACTCTTCATTCAGTCCATGACATTTAGCTGTGTAGTAATAAATAAGAGTTTTAATACTCACTCAAATTTAATAAAAGTCTTAAAGCCACAATTCAAGAAACGAATAATTTGGGCCTTGATTACGTATGTTATGGATTGGATTATTCTATATTTCACGATTTGCAAGCTGATATAGATGCAAAGATGGATGATTCAGAATATAAGAAGGATAGATAAATTCACAAGTATCTTATTAATACATCAATATTATTCTATTAAAATCCATAAGTATACGCTAAGATGGTGAGGATTTATTTAGAATAGGAGTAAAAGTCATACCAAAGGATAAATGAAATGTTATTAGTAAAAAAGCAAAAGAAACGAAGGAGAACTTTTAAAAAGTAACTTTACAAGTAAGACTTACGACAATCTTTTTCGTGGACACAGAATCCATCTCCGTTTCTTAAATAGTGGTCTTTGCAGCGGCAGCCTTTCTTGCAATCACACTCTTCGATTGGAGCACACAATACTGCGGCTATATTCACACCACAGTAACGAGGTGGACAGTCCGATACACAATAGTCTAGTGTCTCATTTTTAGCACAATCGTAGACTGTAAAATAAAATGTGATATACACATACTGGGTTAAATTTTAAAGAATATTTATTGCGTACTCGATAGTAATTAGTAGTACGGTTTATATTGCAGTTTCAGACATCCAAGGTTATTAAAATTATTGCAAATTACGGCTTACTCATCTGAATTAGGTAAATGGGAGAAGCTCCACTATTTTCAAGTCGCAACGGGAGTCTTGTAGAAGCGTTTGCGTCGCGGCGGCGTTGGACAGGTCATGATTAAGAGTCCCGCTGTTAAGTGGTGTTCATAAGCAGTGCCCATTGCTTACCATCAGGTCACCCATCAGCTTGTTTATCCCTAAAAAGTTATTAAAACTCACTACAATCTGCTTCAGGTATGCAAGTACCAGCCTTATTTCTCACATGGCCTTCAGCGCATACACAACCAGGTCTGCAGTCTTTAGAACCAGGTTTCGGTGGTTCTGCGCAACGAATTGCAGCTTTGTTGACCCCACAACGCTGTGGTGGGCACGGATTTGGACAATCGTCGTAAACTTCGTTTGCTTCATGGCATTTTCGATGAGCTGTTATTTAAGTCGATCACTTATTTTAGAAAAATGGATTTTGTATAGAAACCTATTGCAGTACGGTATACCTACTTTTTATAGAATCTTGATGGTAAAACCATTCAATTTATATATATATTAATTATATATTAAATAAAATATCTTATATATTAAATAAGGTATTTATTTAATGAAGGTGAAATGTCGACTTGATTAGCAAGTCGACATTCCACAAAACTACTAAAAACAAAATTAATACTGATTAAGAAAATTGCATAGAAAATGTGGAATACAGACTGATAACAATATTTACGAGCTTAGTGTCATAAAACATTATCACTTATGAGTTATGTGAAGAATTCAGTTTGCATTAGTTTTAATTTATTTTAATTGTTTTCCAATGTCTATGCAATACTGATTAGTATTTGAATTAATTAGCTGTAAGTAGCTAAGTATATAAGGCAAAAATAAAATGAATTTTGTACTTCAGCGATACATACGATTATCACTGCCTGCATCCGGGTAGGGTGCGTGAGATCCTGCAAAATTCAGATTATGAATGTAATAAATTACAGAATGCAAATGGCGCATTGATTCAATCGTAATAGAAAATAATCTACGTCATTGAAACAATTTGAAAAGTTGAAAGATAAAGAAGTCACTACGTGTAACTATTTAATTTTTTCATAATTTTACTGAAGCTTAATTTCATTGAAAGACTTCAAGAAATTTTGAAAAAGAGTAACCATTGTGTGTATTTTTTGTTTTTGTCCATAGGAATCTACACTTCGGAACGAGTGAATAGCTTCACTAGAGGACAGACCGGCAAACTGACACAAGAAGTTGAACTCTTTGATATTATTTTTTGTTTTACCTGCTTCAAGACTTTGCCTGGTTGCTGCTAATGATGACATAAAATACAATATTGTAAAAATAATAATTACAATTTCTATTTTTTTAATAAACTTTCTCAACGGTACGTCACAGTCAAAATCATGTATTCCAATTTAGCCATAAATAGGTACTTTTGTAACGCTAAATAATCTGTCAGTCTGTTCGGAAGTGAAGCTAATAGGGGCTTGTTCCAAATTGTAGATTCGAATGAAGAACAACGAGCAAGAACTCCATCCCACTCACTCCAAAAAGAGAATATTTCTTTTAGATTTTCACTAATACATTATTTAGTACATTATAATACCCATATGTGAGAACAATGCAGAGACAAGTTGTTAAAAAAACAAATGATGGGGTATATCTTTAAATTTTAAATCCTTTATCGTCTCAAACATGTTGCTCACATATGCATAAGATTAGGAGATAGCGCTGCATACCTTCGGAAGGTGTTATCAAACCCCAATTAGCCACCACGGCCCACACTACGAGTGGCTTCCACCACATTATCACCAGAATGATGAGGTTACTGTTTATCAAGGCTATTTACCTCCTTTATATACACGACTTCGTGCACTTGTTTCAATATGGAAGGTTTAAACCAATAATGTTCTAGTCACCATATTACTGGCTATTTTATATTATGTATTTGTTCTTTTGTATATTTTTTTATTTGTATACAAGTTACACATGTGTTAACTTCAATGATAGGTAAACATAAAATGATTAAGTAAAAATACTGATAACATTCATGTATCATATATTTGAATATAATATTATGTGATTTTTTATTGTTGTTAAGTATTGTTCAATTGAATAAAAAGTGCAATTGCATTTTTTAGATTGACGCAGTTAAGAAGCAACTGTTTATTCATAATTTATAATACACAATCCAAACCAATATTATAAATGCGAAAGTAACTATGTCTGTCTTTCTGTATTTCCTTCACGCCTAAACTACTGAACCGATTTCTGTAAAATTTGGTACAGACATAGTTTGGAACTCGAGAAAGGACATAGGATGGTTTTTATACCAAAAATCTGCAGGAAGTCACTATTCAACGCGAATGGAGTCGCGGGCAAAAGCTAGTAATTTTATAAGTACGTTTATGATTAATGGTTAAGTATAAATATTTGACTGCACGGCTGACGCTGTTGCCAGGTAACCAGCTGCTGTGCAACGTGTCGCGGGTTCCACAGTTTGTTTGATTCACAGATTTTTATTTCGGATCTGGGTGGCCTATGTATGTGAATTTGTATGTTTTCAAACGCAACAACGACACAGAACAAAATTCTAATGATTTTTCCCTATATTATTCCAATCGTCTTACATGATATGCATGTTTAAAAAAATGCGAAAATAAATTATAACAGGACCCTTAAAAAAACAGCGTGTTATCATAAAAAACGTGTGTTAATTGAATTAAAAAAACAAACTCTTATAAATAATAATGTGAGTATTTATGCAAATTAACAATTAGAACCGCGTGCCGTCGTATAGACTAATTAGCACTAAATTTTCGATAATTTATTTCAATTCGTGAACGATCGTCTGTCGATATTTAATGGATCACGATTACAATACTATAATAGGTAAATATCGTGTTTAGATTCCAAAAATGCTATAATTTGTTTGTGTTTTTGTCGCAGTAGTGAGTTTCTTTATTTCATGGCTTTATCAAATTTGATGCAAAAGCAAAAAATAAAATGCGTTTATTTTCAACCACAAAATTAAATGTAGGAACATGAATGTTCCTACATTTAATTTTGTACCTATAACAATTCTGGGGTGATCTCGAACCTAGGAAAACCTGTATTTCAGAACTCCAAGTAACTTGGGTGGTTGGACAAGTTTTGGATAAGATAATAACTCCCTTGTTACGGTGTTGATTGGCATTGACTTTGTGTATGTACTAGCGTCCGCACGGTGGTATGTCTTGTTGTATTTTGTTGATAAAAGCCTATGTATTAACACATAGGCTTTTTATCAAAAAAATACAAGCACTACATATAATCTATCTATCTACACGTTAAATTTAACAAATCGGTCCAACCGTTTTTGTGTGTAAGAATAACAAACATATGTATGTTTGTTATTCTTACACACACATATGTATACATATGTATACAACAAACATATGTATGTTTGTTATTCTTACGACCGTCACACATACTCATTTATAATATTAGTAGGGTGTTTTATTTCTATGTGTATGTGTGTGCTTGGTAAAAGTATTTGCTGTGTTGAAGTTATTGTTTGGTACAAGAATCAAATACCATTACTTCTCATTTACTTAATCAGGTTTTAGGTTTGTCGTTTAGGTGTACAGTGCTGGACTTATACACAGTTAAAACATGTATTTATTTTTTACAAAATTTAGTAGAAGGTGGACTTAATGTAAACATTCTATGCCAGTCAAACCTTTGCGTGATGCAGAGAGGAACCAACGTGTATCAAAAATTCATATTGTAGTCAATAAGCTATGTATTTATAGGTACCTAAGGAAGTGAGGTGAACAATGAATAAAACACACACACATTTTTAAAATAAACAAAGTATACTTTATTCATATTCATCTTAAAATACAATTTTGTGTAGCACATCATTTTAATATTATTTTTATAATTCGGAATACTTTTACTAAAACATTCATTACTTACTTAGTTTTACTAACGAGACCCTTCGTTACTAAGTCTACTTATAAGATATTCTACATTTACTTATATGTACCTACATACTTAAACATGTCATTGTGTACAATAATTGTACTATCATGCTCACGGAATAGAAAATACGTTCTGTGTTCATACTGATGTTTCCATTTTATAAAAACTAAACATTATCTATAAAAACTACAAGCGAAACTCCTTTGGTTCAAAAAAAAATGATTCAGCAACACTCCTCTACATATTTATTGAACAAATATAGATTACTTCAATTATAAAAAACCCATTTCGAGACAATCCTAGCCCATAAATATAACTTTGAGCTCCTGTCTACTCATATTAACCACCATTTAGTCCATACTAATTATGTTCTGTATCCAAAATATCAGGCTGACCAGGCCTTATTAAACAGGACTTCTCTCGAAGTAAGAGGAAGTTCTTTCAGCTGCTCCAGGCCGAAGCCGCGGAGACTCATTGCGCTAGCGCCACAAACTCGACATAAAACAGACTCTAAACTTTTTTTGTTTTAGCTGCGTATTCCGAAACAGTAATAATAAAGGATTAAAATGATTATGTTTTTAAAATCACAGACCTACAAGCAATGATATTATATTAACACAGATATGTTATACGCTCACAAAACGCACGAAAAATGTGTTCCGCGCCAAAAGTCAGCACCCTCACATACCTTTTTATTAATTGTACATATAATTACAAGTTAAAATTATAAAAAAGGATAGTATGATAAATCCAACAAAAAAAAAACTAAATAGCTATTGTTATCAATTACATAATCAATGCAAACAAACATTATTCTGACCACCAATTAATATAATATCATTGACTTTGTGCGCTCATAACATATCTGTTAATATATAATATCATTAGGTACAAGTCTTAGATAACTTATTACCTTAGATATCATTTTCCTGCAAATATTCCTGCTTGCAGCATAACTTCTTTGTGGAATAAGGAATAAACGAACGGATGATCGGCTTTAAATCTGAACGTCTGTTGCCGTCGAGGCGCTTTCGTTGTTTCTATTGGAGGGAAATCTAAAGAAGAAAAGAACGGAGACAAATCAAAAACATATATGAGATATCAAGTATTAAGTAGGTACTTGACATAAAATCAATTTCAATATTAGTTTCAAATTGTCTTTGTTTGTTTTTTATTGACACAATCGTAACTAAATACCTCAGAATACAGAACAAACCAGAAGCCGCGTTCACTCATAATTGCATGGCGTCTAATGTGTCCAAAAACAATACGTCAGTCCCCCCGCCAGCCGCACTTCACACCCGCGTAGTGTTGCCGTCAGTGGAACATTTCCCTTGGTTTGGGGTAATTTTACAAAAGGAGGGCAAAATATATTTTATTGGTAAAAAATTGGTAATCTTACGATAAATTTAACAGAATAATGGTTTACACATTTCGTGCAGGTATCATTCATAAAAGTTGAAGATTTCTAGCTGTGTTAATTTTAGTTACACTTACTATTCACAACAAATAAAACAAAATTTCAATAAATACAAAGGTTTAGTTGCGTTCTCTTTTGCTGTTTTATCTTTTTTATAACATGTATTGTCTTCTAGACTCTGAACTGATTAGAAGTTTACCTACTTTTCTTAGTTCCTCAGATTAGCGCGTTCAAGCAAACCAACAAACAAACTCTTCAGCATTATAATTAGTATAGTTAGTAGGAGTTTCTGTTTTTTTTTTTCAGTCTTTTAAAACCACCTTTGTCATAAATATATTGCTGTTCAAAGTGAATTGACCAAAACTATGCTCCGGCTAGATGATTTCCAAATTCATCTAACCGTGCTCTTTGTATGATTTTTATTCATTTTCATTTTCTTTGTTTGTCGACAGGGAATCTAATACGACAAAGGTTCCATAATGGGCAAAAATATAACTCACAACACATAAATAAGTGGGTAAAATTTTCACCAAAAATGGCAACACTCACAAAATGGCCGCATCATTTTCATAGAAAAATAAATCGATAAAAAAAATTCAATAATTAATTAAATATACTATTGCAGTCGATGCTTGCAGATGAAATTTAATCTTATCCACTTTTTTCGTAATTCCAGTCGCATTTTTACTCGTAGGAATAACACAAGACGGCGAAATAAAATTAAAATTGATACTCGTAAATACGTCACGACATGCCACGTGCCAAAATTGACTGATCGTAGAAATTTCATACTATTCTAGTTGAGAATGGTTTTAGTTGCTTTAGTTTGAAGCGCGTTGACGGCTTCTGGTTTATTCTGTATTCTGAGCTAAATACGGACAATGCAATTGATATGTCGTATAACGTCATGTGTTTGCTGCCTCAAGAAGCATATTTAATTATTAAATTTTGTTACAAAAATAACTTGTATAAAGTGTATACATAGTACAATTTAATAAAAAAATAATGAATCATTTGAACAAAAAATCACAAATAGTCTTATAGTGACTAAAAACTACGCCGTTCCTTCTTTTGATCCAGGTCTGTTCCGCGCATGTTAGGCACGGATATATTATTATATGGATAGAATTTTCCTTGGTTCGAGGATTAACTTCGAAACCTTGGATACCTATCAAGTTTTCAATCATTAGACAAGTAAATAGTAATAAAGCAATACATACCAACATCCCAAGTCTCTCCCATGCCATATTCGTCAACGTGGAAGGTAATCTTCTGCAGGATCTCGCTAACGTAAGGTATTTCACAAGACGCAACGCTTTCCAGTCCAAGGGATGTGTTACTGAATATCCTTGTTACGCCCGCCTGCATATAGAAATATTGTATTAAAACGGTTATTGAATGATCGGTTTAGTCGTTATTTCTTTTTGTGAATTAGTTAATACGTAATTATTAAACCTCAACAAAAACCACAAAAGGTACGTTCAACAACTTGTAACTTCGTTCTTTTGCGTTGTAGTCCATTGGCGACGCCTTTTGCTTTCTATCAGGTAATCAGTATACTCGTTTTCTGACCTATATTAATAAACCGCTTAACAATTCTTCCTTAAAAATAATGGAAATAATTATTTTATGTTTATTTTGCAGTTTGTTGAAGCTCTTTGTATTCTAATGGTATGAGATGCAAACGAACAGACAAGTCTCTTGATGGTTTATGTAACACGAGATTTTTTATTTCTATATTTATTTAGATCAGTTGTTTTGCTTTTAAAGTCATAACTGCTAGGCTATCTTAACAGTAAAACTCCACAAAGAATTGTCTCCACAATTGTCAAAAATGTCTAAATCTTTCTTACCTTTTCCGAAGGCTTCTTTAACCTATTCGCAACAGATATTTCGAATTTGGGTAAATCTATTTCGACCATTTGCATAGTCAGACTGCTAACAGCTGAATACACGGCGTTTGTGTTCTGAAGTTTCTTTAGCAAGTCGTTCAATCCAGTAAAACTGTTCGGTAGGAATATCACGAGACCAAACATTCCACCGACGTAGTTCATTCTCAGTACCTAGAAAAAGAAATACATCTACATGATGGAGTTTTACTCAATCTTCTCCATACTCACTTACGGACAGACGGACATACATAATTTTAATTCGACGTTTCTAAAGAACCCGTTTATGTTTTAGTTGAAATAACTAATTATGAATTTGATTACAGAAAAAGCTTGATAATACATATATATCAAATATTCTTTATCGATAATTTAATGTTTTTCTTTAAAAGAGACCAAATCTACCATTACAAAATGTATCTACAGTATATTTAAATTTATATGACCGTCTTGTCTATCTAATTAGTTAATTACCTTAGCGCTGAGTGCGGAACTCTCTAGATACAGGAACGTGTCTTTTTGGTACATACATTGGACCTTACTGATTCTTCCACTCCAGTAAAAGTCTTTCAATGTTGTTTCTGACGGGTTGAATTGTTTCTCCCATTTTCCCTGAAAACAACAACAAAACAAAAATATTTTTGTGTTTTATCAATATTTATTTTTGCAGTGTTTATGACGTTAAATCTTTACTAGTGCTAGTAACAAGCTAATCTCTAAAACGACTGGTTCTAATTAAACAATTTGTTTATATGCTGTAAAACATCACGCTATGACTAATATACCTGCCGAGGAGCCGGTAAAATCGCGCGTTAATTGCTGCTGTACTTACCATAGATAGAAAAATATGTACAGGTCACTTTTTTAGAAAACTGCGTGGTTAAACATCTTTTGAAACCTTATAAAACAAGATTGCAAGAGGGCATACCTTTTTTTAAGAAATACTATTTTCTGTCAATAGCTACGCCTGCAGTACCAAGTAAAAAGTAGCCTTTGTGTTATTGCAGACCATAATAATTTATGTCTGTCCTAAATTTCATTCAAGTCCCTTAAACGGTATTTACAGTATTTAGTAGTGAAAAAGTAACAATTAATATCCATCAACACTAGGCATTTGAGTTTATAATGTAAGTAGGATATTTTACAAACCTGAAAACTTTCGGCATCGATCATAATCAAATGGTCGAGTGTAGCTGAAATTTTTGGTTTCAAATAATTTTCAAAGTTTCCGTTTGTCATTCTTTTCACCTGCGTAGAAAAATATAATCAATTAATTTTATATTATTTACACAAGTTTATTTCTTTTAGCCACCTTATTATCATGAAGCATAAAGAAAATAAAAAGAACAAACGCACTTCGTCACTTATTGTCTTCGCTGTTTTAGAAGACGTAAAATCAAGGTTTTCTGGCGCCATGGCGAATATTTCCTCTGTTTTACTGATAAATTCTTCTGTCATTGCACATTCATTGTCAGCGTATATTTTGCAGAACAGGCTAAATTCGATGTCAGAATACTCCATTGTAAGAGCAGCTGATATTTTTGGGAATGCACAGGATATCTGCAATAAAATGGCACTATACATCGTTAGCATTTTATTTCTAAGTATAGGAAATACAATGAATTTCTCTAATTGTGGACATTCATTCGTCATGTACATAAATAGAATAGGCCAGGCCCTGAGCAACAATTCTTCCACCCCACAAAGAACCTACGACACAAGGCACAACAGCCGGTTGCCTAGTCGAATAGGTCATATTTAATAAGATTTTCGAAATCTTATAAATAAAAAAATTTCTTTGAACTTGAACATATTTATTTATTTCTCTTAAATTAAATAAAAATATGAATATTACGCAAATTCTAAAATTAATCTACGAAGGTATTTCCAAGTACTGTTTTGGTTTTATTATTCGAAATAATATCTTTTTCACCGAGAAAACGAATTAATTAATAAGATAAACACTACATCATAAACAAAGAACTTGTCAACGTTGAGGCCCCCCCTTAATGATCCGAGGCTGAGATTCTCAAACGATTATCAATGCGGAGTACACGTTATAATATCAATTAGTTAACTGTCAAATCTCATGTCAAGTATATGATTGGTTGTTTGCCTATTGGTCAATTAATTACTGTCTGTTTATAACAGATTCTAATTCGATTTAATTAGTCAGAGTTCCAAGAAACTCGTAATTATACTATCAAGAAAATTTGGAAATAAACAAAAATGGTTATATCTGCTGACCTCTTCAAGAACTATAAATTCTTTGGATAAAGCCATTAAGAGATAGCCTAGGTTGGCTTGCCCGCCGCATCGACACATCTGAGGAAGCGAGAAATATCATGTCCACTTTTTTAGATGAATTATGCACATGTTAAATGCGTTAATGCCGCTTAAAACATGATGTGAATATTAAAATAAGAGACAATGAGTATATACCAAGGATATAAATACTCGAAAATGTACTTAAAAATACAGGGTGTAAAAAGACACAACGAAGCCGAAAGCCACGTATTCTACCTATTATTTGGATCATTTTTTTTTTAAGACCATAGCTGCTCCACGCGTTCTCAAGATATTGAAGGTCAAAGGTGCATTTTTAAATTATTATTTTTTGCGCAATCTAATTCTAGGTATTATTACAAAACTTTTTTCCAAACAAACATTACCTGAATTTTCGATTTTTCTAAATAAATTACGCATTTGAAGTTACGAACAGTAATGTACGTAATAAATAAATGAAGACCCGCACAAAAAACATCGTGTATCTCAATAGCATTTTTATTTTACAGAATTGATTTGTTGTTGCGAAGAAAAACGTCGACCTACGTACTTATCACAGCGTTTTACATAATGCTAAGCTGTGAACCTACGCGCACAATGACACGAAGCCCGTTTGCTTTACATTGCGCGCATTAAATTTTTTTTTTTTTGATACCTAAAAATAAAAGTCGTTTCCCAGTGATAATTTTAGCGTAAAGCTACTTAGTTAGAAATGCAGTATGCGTAGTTAACGGCATCGTTAAGTGTCTTTTTATACCCTGTATAAAGTAATAAAGAAATAAGTAGATGAAAATTCGTTAGAGACCACAATATTTATAAACACCTGCTCTATGAATATTTAATCATCATGGTATACGTTCCAAATAGTCAAACGTTTCTTGTCTCCTTTTTCATAATCAATATCATAAAATTACTAACCTGTTCTGTGTCCTTAAGGTTGAATACATTTAAGAGTTCTGTCTTTGCCTTGCCCTTAGCATATAAAGCCAGTTGACCCATCAGGTATAAGACTGATGCTCCTCCTACCATTACGCTATGTCCAGGGTTTGATAGTGATATTTCCTGTTGAATAGTAAAAAATGGATTATGATAAAGAGAATGCGAAAAAGTTCACCTTATTTTTTGTTGAATCAACTTATCGTGATTTTAATATATTTTTACATTTTTGTGACAAAGTATATTCTGTTAGTCATTTTCCTATCATTGGATGAGTAAAACGAACTATAATATAATATAGACATTTCGCTGGAGCAAAGTGATTAAAAAATGTTTGAACTAACATATAATAGTTTCAAGGTGTATCCAAGACTTCCTACAGCGAATAATGGAATGGCTTGTTCTTCACAAGTTGGTTCTTCTGTTGTTGATATGGTTGTTGTGGATATCATACCAGTAGAAGACGACGATTTCCTACCTGTGAAACCACATAATTTTATTATTAAATATGAATTCAATGCTTCAAGGATAAGTGATTATTTTTCAAAATGTTACTTACATTCTAATCTGCTGACGCATTTTCCTTCTGCGTCCTTGAAATAACCAACCAAACAGCGACATTCGGGCTTACATCCTGTGGTCCTATCAGATGCTTGACATCTAACACCATTTAAGTAATCTTCACAAGTCCTTTGAGGGCATGAAGGTGCACAATCGTAGTACCATTCGTTGCGGCCCTTGCAATCTTTCGGTCCTGTGGAATTGTTAAGGTTAACAATGTTCAGTTGCTACAAATAGTGGTTTTACAATAAAAACATTGGTACTTTTTTTTATAAGATATTACATAAAACAAATACAAATTCAGACAAGATTTAATTAAATGCGACTAAACTCAACTATATAATGTATGCTTCGTTTACTCTGGTGGCTAAGTGAATTTACAACATCTACTTGCATTCTGTTGGCACTGAACAAGTTTTGTTACTCTTGAAGTACAATAGGAAATAACTTCCTGGGAAGTAGCAATTAACTGACGGATAATCACAAAATACCTGTACAACAATTCTGTTCAATTAGAAAATTGAAGAATGTTCTTCGAAACCAGTTTGTTTTCAGTGAAGACACTATTAAATCAAATGTTTTGTTCCTTATTTTCAAGCGTGTAGTGCGGTTGTCTTACATAAAGTTGGATATGTTCCAACCTTTACTAGATTGGCACAGCATCGATTCTACCAAGACACCGGACAAGCAGTTAAAGGGATTATGAAAGGTTGACAAATAAATGGTTAATCTTCTGTAGGGTAGGCTATTAAATAACCATTATTTATTTCAAATTTAGATTAGATAGATTTCTAAGCCGTGTTGGAAATTGACAAATTAGCATTATCTAAATCTTAAAACATTTCCTTTCCAAGAATACAAACTGGGTTCAAAGTATTTGTGGGTAAGCTAAGTGCTACTTAGGCATGGACATCAAATCTAGCTCATAAAGATCTAAACAAAGAATGGCGACTGAATAAGGGCTAAAGAAAAATATCCGAAGAATTTTTTACCTTTTGTGGTTGATGCTTCCGTTGTTGGCGTTGTTTGTGTGGTGACTGATTTCGTTGTAGTTATTGGTGCCTTAGTTGTGCTAGGTGTGTGAGTTGTTGTTTTCATTGTTGTCTCAGGTACTGAAGTAGTCGTCGTAAGTGGTATTTTTGTAGTAGTTATTGGTTTAAGAGTTATCATTGTTGTCGTTGATATTGGCCCTTTTGTAGTTGTTGATTGATTACTTAAATAATGTTCCGTCGCTTCCCCATTTTTGGAATCATCTGTTGTTATGTTTGATTTAGCTTCTTCTGTTGTTGATCCATTTTCAGATTTTTCTGTGGTCATATCCGTCTCAGCTTTTGTCGTTAATCCATTTACAGATTTTTCTGTGGTCATATCCGTCTCAGCTTTAGTCGTTGATCCATTTTCAGATTTTTCTGTGGTCATATCCGTCTCAGCCTTTGTCGTTGATCCATTTAAAGATTTTTCTGTGGTGATATTCGTCTCAGCTTCTGTCGTTGATCCTTTTCCAGATTCTGCTGCTATGGTCGTTCCAGATTCCATTCCTTTTGTTGTTGACCCATTTTCAGATTTCTCTGTGGTCATACTCATACCCGTCTCATCTTCTGTTGTTGATCCATTTTCAGATTCTGCTGCCGTGGTCATAACAGTCGCCATTCCTTCTGTCGTTGATTCTTTTCCAGATTTTGCTGCTATGGTGGTTCCAGATTCCATTACTTTTGTTGTTGATCCATTTGGAGATTTTTCTGTGGTCATACTTATACCCGTCTCATCTTCTGTTGTTAATCCATTTTCAGATTCTACTGCCGTGGTCATAAGAGTCGCCATTTTTTCTGTCGTTGATTCTTTCCCAGATTCCGATGTTGTGGTCTTGCCCATTTCAATTTCTTCCGTTGTTGATCCACTTTCAGTTGTCATATGTGATTGTTCAGTAGTTGAATCTGATCCTCCACCAGATTCTATACCAACTAGTGCTGACTGTATAACTATTTTATCAGATCCTTTAGTTGTCATTTCTGATTTCTCAGTAGTTGAAACCGCCTTTTCATTAGATTCCGTTATAGATGATGAATCCGTTTTTGACTCTGTAGTCGTTTCTGAAAAGTAGCAATATTAAATAAATAAAATTACAAAGTGTATTTGAAAGGAACATGGCAGTAATATTGTGTTGTTATTTCTTATATTTTGCTTTTCATTTCATTTATCTACACTTAAAAATGTTTCATTTAACTAAATCTTTAGCATGTATAATTTGTAAGCTTTATTCGTTGTCCTTGAACATATGAAAAATAAATAAAATAGACCTCGATCCATTCCATTGCAAGCCATTTCTTCTAAATCTATAGTTTTTTTAGTCGTGACATCGCAGTTGTTTGCGCTGCAATCATCACAAGGGTCTGTACCCTCATTACCATCTTCATTCCCCGAAGAACCTTCGCTGCCTTCAGGTTCAGGTGCGTTCTTGTTACCTTAAATATTATAAAATCCATTGTCAGTAATGAGTCTAGAGATTATAATATATGATTTAAAATAAAATCCGCACAAGCAAAACATCTCAAATATTTTAATATCCTGCAGTATATACATACATATGATATAATATCGTAATAATTGATAATTGCCCCTACCAAGCTGACAGGTTTAGCTGTAGTTTGTGAATTGATTGCACTTAAAACAGAAGCATACCTACTTATATTGTTTTTCAAAAATAGAATTTTGTCGGTCTAGGCTATATTATCCTGCAATATTAATATTAATAGTCTAATTGTCTTCAAGGTGAACAATATGCGCATTTATTGTATTTAAGTCAAGTTAATGAACATTGACATCATATTTTTAAATAAATGATTAGTTCAGTTAAGTTCCAATCATAATACAATTCATTGTATCTCTGAAAACCTAGTTAAAAGAATGAAGAACTACACAATTTAACGCTGCACGAAAAGCTTTTTCATGATACAAAAATGTTTTGGTCAAATGAATTTTGTTTTAAAAACCTTTCACCATTTCAAGTCCTCATACGTTTACCTATTCCGCGATGCCCACATGCCAACTGCGTCGAACAATAAAGTTTTTTATCGAGCAATATAGATCCCAATTGTCGGTTGTGTGTAAAGTGAACGCAGTACCAACCCGGGAAAAATTACATTCTACCCGGTTAAACTTGTTGGAGTACGGGTAGCTACTGACTAACTTGCCGTTCTGGTGGTGAGTTTGTAAATTAAGCCTTTTTTCGACATTGCTTTACAAAACAGGTGAGGCAAATTTATACTTTGTGATTTAGCTATATATGCATTGTGTTGAGTCTGAGTATTTTACTGTGAAACTACAGAATTATATCGATCTAACTACACATAGCAGTAAAGTAGTAGTTTTCCTTTTTATAAAAAAATTCATATCGATTTCGTTGTTATAAATGCAGTGACCAAAGCAACTATGGAATTAAAAACCTTAAGTGAAATTAGAGTAAGTGTTTAGATAGTTACATTTCAATTAAAAATAATTTATAAATCAACTTAATTTGCTCGTAGTCCTTGACATTTATCCAAATTTTTAAACTTCAATTTTATGTATTGTGATTCAAACGAATTCTCAGAACTAAAGTGAATCCGACTGAAATAAATAACTGTAAATAAGCCGTGACGACTTTTATGACCGACGGGCAGCAATAAAAAAACTAGCTTTGTGTATCCACAAACCAGAAAGAGGTTCTACTAAATATTTCAGGAGAATTAAGAAAGAAATATTTTAGTTGACCGTCGTTTTGTATCAACGTACTGTATTTTACGCGCTCGAAAAGGCTACCTTGAAAGTTTTGTTACACTAGTATATTAGACCCTAGATATTTGAATAAACAAATTAAAAAGCTTTAATAAAAGAACTTTGGTTTACAAAATATGTTGAACGGAAACTTGGCCAAAGTTGTTTTATTGATCTTGAAACTGAGTTTGATAACAATATGTATGTTTTTGTGATTGCTAAGATAAAAATATATATACGTAGGTACCTATTTAAAATATTTGTATTATTTTTAAGTATCTAACCTACGTAATTGAATAATGTATAAAATGAGGGCGTTTATAGAAAATTCGAAATGTCCATACGCTGCAAATTTCTTACTAATTTATACAATGAAGAGTGAGTCAACAATTATTTCATAGATCCTTTAAAGTTGAAACTTCTCCAGCCTCGGCTTTAACTACTCATCCGACACTCGGAAAACATTCTAAATTATGCTTCCAAACAAGAAAAGGTACTATTTCAGGTAAATCGCTTAATGCGCCGTAATATTCAGAAGTTTTACTCGAGTTCTAAAACTTTATAATTAGCTAACAAACTATGCAGTGGCTCATAGAAATTATATTTGCTCAAATTAAGTTTCATATTCGTAGCTCCAGTTGTAGTTTTTGTATTTTGAAACTAAGAAATAGTGTTTCTCTGAAACTAAATATTATTTGATACCACCGTGCCGTCGGGATAATTTCAATGCATATTTGAAATAATTTAATTAAGATTAACAGAATGCAACGTGTCGCAGTCCACAAATTCTTTTACTCGGTCTATGTAGTATGTTCGAAAATGATCTCAAAAAACAAGAGAAAATCAAAATGTGGGTCAAAGTTAAAAAAAATCTATCTTATCTTGAATTTTGATTTATTCTAAGTTATAAGTGCAAATTACGAGATCAACTTTTGTGTTTCGCCGTGTGACTGAGGTGTAGTAGTAAGTCTATATAACATATTACTAAGTACATTGTATCTCTATAATCATGTATTTAATCTAAGGTCCTAACTTAAATAAAGGAGTATCGTCTCAGCAATTGGACCTTTCATTTCTCGCTTAACCCGAACCTTACATGGCGACCCTGCCATCGCTTGAAGTGAGAATTCGATACTCTTCTCCATAAAAGGACTGGAATGTTTTATAGTGCTCGAACGTTCTGTTACTGTGAAGATGTCACGAGTGTTATTTTATAATCCTGTTATTACGCACGGGTGGTCTACAATCACATATTACGAAAATGGGAAAAGGTCAATCTAAATCCAAAGAAACTGTCGTTGTCCAGAACACGGTTGGAGGAAGTAATATAGCCACGTTGGAAGAATTTCGGTACCATTTAACAACTACAAACATACTGTTGCTGATAATCGTTTTGGGCGTTCTTTTGGCAGTTTTGTGCGTGGCCTATAGGATGTATAAAAGATGCCATCTGGATTGGATAACGCGCGAAATAAATAGCAATATGTTAAGAAGATCACTCGTAAGGCGCCAAGCTGTGACACCAAAAGGAGATTGTGAAGCTGTGTAGCGACGCAGCACGACCCCGCAGCATAACACTACAACCACGTTCAATAATTCAAGTTGTTAACGTTCAATACTATTGATGGAGAAAGTAATATTTGGATATTGCCACAATTCGCAATACCTTCATGAAAAAAAAAAAAACAGTGACAAGGAAGGAAGGAGATTTCAAAACTACTTCCAAATGTAATCGTCGGATATCAGAAAACACTGTTGGATTTACATTTTGGACTTTGGACTTTATATTCTTATCGTCGTAATATTTCAGAAGAAGTTATAGCTACAGATATGAACTGAACGAGTGTAGTGAGTATGTGAAAGTGAAAAGTGAAATAGTGTTTTAGAAATACCTACACGTAAGTAAAAAGTAATCAACTGTGTCAGGGTTATGTCAAGGGGACTAAGCGTTTACGTATTGTTTATTAGTTATAAAAATTAAGGCATGTATCCTATTATATCAAAAATAATTACACTTTAGTGTACATTTAATCGTATTTAATGGTTTATAAAAGGGTCATAACTAAACTAGTTATTTAGTAGAAATATTTTGTTTAGATGGTTTAGTATTCTAGTAATTCAATATTATTAATATTAATGATTTCTGAATTAGAATCATATGGGGCAGAACTTAAGAAAATCAAAGTTTATCTGATAAAGATAGGACCCGCTAGAAGAGAAGGTACTATTTCAAAAGTTAAATTTAGTGAAGCCCAAGAACTTTATGACAGATTTAGTAATTATTTAATAACTGTTGAGTCTGATTTGAAGTCGGGTAAAATAAAAGGTCAGGACATTTCCTTAGTTGAAACTGCTGTTGAAAGAATTAATGTATTATATAACGATATAGTAAAATTGTGCAACGTAGAGGAACTTATTGTGTTATCAAAACCAGAAACAAAAATGTCTACTATTACTTTCGATTTGAAAACTGCTTTAAATTTATTGCCTGTATTGACAAATGAAGAGACTGTTACGAAACAGCTCATTGATAATATAGAATACTATGATTCTATTCTTTCTACGCCGGAATGTAAACAAAATTTAATTAAGTTTGTGCTAAAGAGTAGATTGTCTCAAGCTGCCAAACTGAAGTTAAAAACAACCTATTCGAGTGTATCAAGTTTGGTGCAAGATATGCGATCAGAATTGCTACCAAAAAAAGCAGCAACCGCGATACAGACTAAATTGCAAAAAATACGACAACATGAAAAATCAATATCGAATTACGGAGAGGAAATTAATGAACTATTTGTAGACCTTACGATTTCCCAAGCCAACGGAGACACGAAATGTTATGAGATATTGAAGCCTATAAACGAAAAGTTAGCTATTAAACAATTTGCGGATGGCTTGCGAAATCGAAAGTTAAGCACTATAATTTCAGCCCGTAACTATGACTCGCTCAAGGACGCGATACAGGCCGCCCAGGACGAGGAGGTGTCAAGTGCATCTACATCGGGAGAAATATTTGGTACGTACAAAAAACCTTATTATAATTATAATTATAGAGGCCGAGGACACAATTCCAGAAGTTTTCACAATGGATATTTTGTTAGAGGCAACAGCGGGCCGTATGCAAATAGAGTTCAAGGTAACTATGACCGTCAGCGAGGTTCAACACGTGTGTTCTCATACAGGGGTCAAACGTCGCCCGCGCGCGCTCGCAGAGGTACTTTTTACAGATCCAGGGGTAATTCAGCGCGCCGTCAAAATACACTAAATGTATTTGAGGAATCGAATAACGATACTCAAAATAATAACTTGGAGATGTCTCAACAACAAAGTTCGTCAAATCGGTTTTTTCTTGATTAATCAGCGGCACATATTAGTTAGCAACAGCAATAGTTACGTAAACATTCTATCTACACATAACAAATCATTTTCTTATTTAGTAGACACTGGCGCATCACTCTCCGCATGCAAGTATAAACAAGCTATCGAGCTACACATTCCAATCCATAAAGAGAATACAATTATAAATGGATTGGGTGGACAAATACAGTCGATTGGATATGTTTACATACCTCTTTATTTGGGTACACAGAGAGTCAAACATAAGTTTCATGTTTTCAAAACTTTGCCAATACAGTCAACAGCAATTCTAGGTAGAGACTTTTTAAGTAAATACAAAGCAAAATTAGATTTTCAAAATGGTAACATGATTATAAAAACTAATATTGAACAAGGAATATGTTTCCCTTTTACGTCACATTGTAGAGATGCGATATGCATTCCCAAGCGTTCGGAGTCGATACACTATATACAGACAGATTTGAAAGAGGAGTGTGTAGTTTGCTCACAAGAGTTACTGAATGGTATCTACTTGGCAGGTACTATTGTAAACCCAATAAATGGTGTCATACCAGTTAGAATCTTGAATGTCACTGAAAATGATTTGTTATTGTCAGATATTAATCCATCTTTTCAAAAACTTAATGACTATCAGGTTTGTACATTTGATAAGACTTCTAAAAACGCGGACCGGGTTAAGACATTGTTTTCTAAAATAAACTTTGAACATTTAAATACAGAAGAGCGTATAACTATTGAGAACTTATGTGCAAAATATGCTGACATTTTCTATTTGCCAGATGACAAACTTAGTACCACGGACATTTATACACATACGATTACCTTAAAACCGGATACAAAGCCCATATTTTCAAAGCCATACAGAATACCTCAAACGCAAAAGCAAGAAGTAAAAGCTCAAATAGATAAAATGTTAAAAGAAGGCATAATCGAGCCTAGCAAAAGTGACTGGTCGAGTCCTGTTTTACTTGTTCCCAAAAAGTTAGATTGCAATAATCAGAACCAGTGGCGTCTTGTAATTGACTATCGTAAATTAAACAATTGTATTGAAAACGATAACTTTCCATTACCGGACATTACGGAAATATTAGATGCATTATCTGGCAGTATTTATTTCTCACATTTAGATTTACACCAAGGTTTTTATAATGTTCAGTTAAGTAAAGAAAGCAGGAAATATACAGCCTTTTCATCAGGACAATACCAGATGACCAGAATGCCCATGGGGTTGAAAACAAGCCCTAGTTCCTTCTCTAGGATGATGAACATTGCTCTGGCTGGTCTAAATTATGACAAATGTTTAATTTATTTAGATGATCTTATAATATTTGGCAGAAGTTTAGAAATACACAATAGAAATTTACAGGACGTATTTGAAAGATTAAGAAAGGTTAACCTAAAATTGAACCCAATTAAATGTGATTTTCTAAAAAAACAAATATTATATCTTGGACACGTTATTTCAAATGAAGGAATACTACCAGACCCTCAAAAGATAGATGTTGTAAAAAAATATCCTTGTCCTAAAAATCCTGATGAAGTCAAAAGATTCGTAGCGTTCACTAACTACTACAGGAAATTTATAAAAAACTTTGCTAAAATTGCAAAACCTTTACATACACTTTGTAAAAAAAATGTAAAATTTGTTTGGGATGATAATTGTCAACAATCTTTCGAAAAATTAAAAGAACGTATTATATCGCCACCAGTTCTTGATTATCCAGATTTCAGTGTAGACAACAAATTTATTCTTCAAACAGATGCCTCCAACACTGCTATAGGAGCTACATTGTCAAATAAAAATGGTCGACCAGTAGCTTTCGCTAGTAGAACACTAAATAAGGCAGAACTAAATTATCCAGTAATCGAGAAAGAGCTTCTAGCGATTGTATGGAGTGTCAAATATTTCCGTCCGTATTTATATGGTCGTAATTTTAAAATAAAAACGGATCATAAGCCGTTAGTATATCTTTTTAATATGAGGGATCCTTCTAGCAGATTAATCAAATTTAGGATTGCCTTAGAAGAATATGACTTTGAAGTAGAATACGTGAAAGGTTCGGACAACGCGGCTGCAGACGCATTGTCTCGAATATGTATAACTTCTTCAGAGTTAAAGGAAATGATTGACCACATAAATGTAATGACACGTGCTCAAACAAGAAGACTTGTTCAGAGTGACCCAGTTGATAGGGTACGAACTGACTTGAGGCCTGATCAACCACAAGTTGTTAGTACTCATATCAAACCGCTGGGATCGGTAGAACTAAGATTTATAAATGAAGATAAATTAAATGAAATAAGAAAATTAAATATTATGACAAGAGAAAATAAAGTTTTATGCTATATAGAAAGTCAATGTATAATATATATAAAACAAACTAGTTCAGGATCACAGATTTCGCGAGCCGAATTTGTGAATGAATTAGAAAACTTGTGCGCACAAGAAGGAATAGGTACAGTTAGTATTGTAAAATGTCGCGACAATGAGATATTTATTAAAAAACTTGTAGAAGAAATAAATAAAAGAAAGCATAAAATTAAAATTACTTTATGTGTTTTAAATAATGTACAAACCATAAACAATAAAGACGACAGAAGAGTAATACTTAATGACTTTCATCTCCTACCCAGTAGTGGCCATGCTGGCATGAGACGAATGTCAAACAATATTAAAAAATATTACTACTGGCCAGGTCTTGAAAAAGATGTCAAAGAATTTTTAAAACGATGCGATAAATGTCAACGACAAAAATATTCGTTACCGATTAAAGAGCCTATGATAATAACTACAACTTCGAATACAGCATTTGAAAAAATATATTTAGACATAGTAGGACCTTTAGACACAGATAATTATAAAAATACGTACATACTAACACTTCAGTGTGAACTAACAAAATACGTGGAAGCATATGCCTTACAAACAAAACAAGCCAATGAAGTAGCAAGAAACTTTGTTAATAATTTTATTCTCAGATATGGGGTTCCAAAGGAAATAGCCACAGATCGAGGTCAGGAGTTCATGTCAATAGTATTCAAAGAGGTTTGTAAATTACTACATATTAATCACCTTAGCTCAACGGCGTATCATCACCAGTCCATCGGAGCTCTGGAGGTAACACACAAAAATTTAAAAACTTTTCTACGTATCCAGACAGATAATAACCCAGAGACTTGGAGCCAATGGCTACCATTTTGGTGTTTTGGATATAACACAACAGTTCATTCAGAAACTAAATTCACGCCTTACGAGTTAGTATTTGGAAAAGTTTGTAATTTACCCAGTAATTTAATTAATACAGTCGAGCCATTATACAACTTTGATGATTATCCTTGCGAACTAAGGTATCGGTTACAAACGTCACAAAAACAAGCCAGAGACAATCTACTCAACAGCAAAATAAAGAGAAAAATTGCATATGATAAATATGTCAACCCAATAGTATATAAGCCAAAAGATTTAATATTAATTAAAAATGATAGTGGTAATAAAATGGATGCAGTGTATTCGGGACCATACCAAGTTGTAAACGATATAACACCTAATGTACAAATTATAAGGAATGGTAAAATTTACACTATACATAAAAATCGTACAAAATTATACCATAAATAATAAATGCAAATACACAAGAATTATATACCTATATTTGTGTGTAATGTAATTAAACCATCTATGACATATAATAATATAATATGTTTAGTGGAATTATTTACTAATAATAACAATTTATTTAGGTTAAGATTAACTATGTAATCAAACAAAACATTTTTTTTTCTTTTTAAGGATGGAGGTGTAGTAGTAAGTCTATATAACATATTACTAAGTACATTGTATCTCTATAATCATGTATTTAATCTATTGTCCTAACTTAAATAAAGGAGTATCGTCTCAGCAATTGGACCTTTCATTTCTCGCTTAACCCGAACCTTACAGAGGTTACCGGAGGCCCAATCCCTCCCATTCCCATATCCTTTCCCAATCCCATCCCCAAAAGGCCGGCAACGCACTCGTAACTCCTTTGGTGTTGCGGGTGTCCATGGGCGGCGCCGATTGCTTACCATCAGGTAATCTGTTTGCTCGTTTGCCGACTTATACCATAAAAACTTACAATGTGTGAACATGCTTTATTTATTATCCTTTCACTATTCACTTATGTATATAGTATAATGCGCAATTTACGTAAGTGCACAACATACTACAGAAATCTCGCTTAAATCTTCATGCACTGTAATATTTTAGCATTTCTAAGTATAATTCATCCCATCCACCATTTGATATGGTTTACGGCCAGTTCGTTAGCAAATATTAATATTTGAGATCTATGTATATTATTCATGTTAAATTTTGAGTATTTTATATCAAGTAGTATGAGATAGTTTTAATAATTTTGAATGTGAAGATGACCAAAATAGGTAGCTTGATTGGTTAATTGCAACATAAAGTTCACATTTGCATCATAAATTTAGTCTAGATAATAGCATTGTGATAAATCATGCTTATTCTATTTTAATGCTTTGATGCCTTTATAGATGATATTTTGAGGGTGGAATATTGTCAATTGGTCCTCCCTCTTGCCGTGGGTTTTTTCTTCTGCTGCAGCGAGGCCTTGTTACATTTTTGCGTTTACCTAACCCGTAAACCCGGCTAAATATAATGTTTTTTCATAAATTTGTACTTACTGCAATCCTGTGGCAGGACACAGAAGCCAAGATAGTCATCGAAGACATAATCCTTTTTGCAATCACATCCATTGGTGTAGCATACATCAGCACATATAACATTGGATAACATGTAGTTGGAACATCGCCGGCCACAGTTCACACCACATCCGTACGTCGCGTTCTTGTCATTGCCACAAGACGCTGCAAATGGAGAGAAAAATTATGTGGAAGGTTTGTTTAAAATGGAAATGTTGTAGAGCTAAAAAGTATATAATCATTAAATTTTTTGAAAACAAAAGACACTAATTTATTTATCTGTGCATCTAAAGTAGGTACCAAATACTTATAAACAACGAAACAAACGAGGCAGACTGAGAATTTGTCTACCTACCTACAAAGATGGCCACTTTGTGAAATGAATCCTGCTTTTTATTGGAAACAAAACCATACCTATGGGATATTATTATAATTTTAGTATATTATTATATTACTATAGAGTATACTTACGACATTCTTTAGCTGGCATACAAATGCCGTTATCATTTCTTACAAAACCCTCAACACAGATGCAAGCAGGAGGCCCAGGGCAGGGCCCACTCTTGTCGAAACGCCTTTTATCATGTGTTGAACACTGTGGAATCCCAACGTCTTCACATATTTGAGGCTCGCAAAGTTTTTCTGGACACTCCGAGTATATTTCGTTTACTGCGCATTTACCTGGGTAGTTTTAGGAAAAGTTAACGGATTATGCCTATCTATAAATGTTCATGGTGGTGGATCTGATAATCATCGGGTGGGAGTGTCAGACTTATACTGACTAAAAACGTTCTTTCTATCGCTCTGGGCCGAAGTCGCGGTGCCGGTGCCTCATTGCGCTTGCCCGGCAACCCCGGCTGATGAGATGAGGGTGCGGGTCTTTTCCGGAGTTATATGTACATTTAAAAAAATTAAGACCACACACCACATAATACGGTGAAGGATGTAAGTGACCTTCTTTTATGAGAAGATTAAATCATCCAATGACGTCTCCAGCGTAAAGGAGCTTGGCTCGGCAGTACATACGTATTTCATTAGCATTAAGGCAGATAATCTCTATAGATATGCTACACTTAGATTAATAAATCATTAATTGCTAAATACCGTATAATATTATATCACAAAACTTATAAAATAAATCACTTGAATAAATAATTGAAGTGTATGTACCTACATCTATTTATTCACGCGATTGTATTGTCCGTTAAAACACGTCGTGATCTTTTAAGTTCAATTAACGGGCCGAAAATATACAAAATTATATAATAACAAAATAATCTTTATGCATAAAAATTGAATCATACTTATCAGCGAGCATTTTAGTAAGTCCTATGAAATCAGACGTAATTAAAATTATTTCATATTGTTTTAGGAAGATATATTCATCGACACCAGTCTATAAATGCCCACTGCTGATTAATTTATTTTTACATGGAACTATAGAAATTTTTGGTTCAGGTTTCCTCACGATAGTTTTCTACACAGTTTGAAAATGGCGTCTAAATAATTTTAAAAGTACCTACCTATAAATCACAAGCAAAAAGGTACATGTCTAGAAGAGTTTTCCTTTCTTTGGATGGATTATAAAAATATTTTTGATATTATACTTACTGACATGATGTTCAGATTTTATTATGGTCGTACTGCTGCTAGCTGCCACCGCTGCAGAACCAGCTGCCACAGTGCCTTTTTCTAGAAAAAATAAACAAGTCTTGTCGTTTCGTTTATAAATAACTTTAGCTCTACTGCTCGTTATTTTTGTCAGTTATTTTAAGCTATTTTTAGCCTTTCGAAAGTACTTCAATATACCAGGAATAAAATGTTGATTGGCTTTTTTTATTGTTTAGGTTGCGTACCTATCTATCCTTTCGTTGTTGTAATAAAGTTCATTTTGATTGTGGGAGAGTCATGCTTTGGCACGAATAGGTCGGCTCGACCAGAGTGATACGACGACCTCACAGAAATCTGGCGTGAAACAATTACAGCGTTGTGTTTCATCGTGTGAATGAAGTTACCGTAGACCAATACACCACCCCGCCCTAGTAACTAAGTCTTCAAAATCCTAGCAATACCTACACTTGCAATCTCTTCTGCTGTTGCTTGCGATCTTGTAATCCACCTCATTTGTCGTCAACAAAATTTTAACCAAAAGATTTTTCACTTAAAGATTTTTTGTATCGATCTCAAAATATTTTTTCAATTTATTAATTAAAATGTTACAAATGCTTAAAGAAAATTGAATGAAACAGTATCAGCCTTTTATAGCGAATACATTTAAAAATGTACTACCTATCTTCGAGTTTTACGTATGTCATAAATTCTTATGACTTCTATGTTTCCTTATAATGACTACAACAGGGTCGTAATTATAGTCAATGCTACTTCAAGCACGTAAATAAATGTTAATTTTATTTTTAAAGTTAGGTATCTATTATTTATTTATGAGTTTGTTAGACGAACACTGTTGAAATGGTAACATCTAGAAACATTTAATAATTTTACTAAATACTATTTAACTCTAATACTGATTCCAATTCTATAATTATTTTATCAAGTCTTTTGATATTTTCTACTCACTTTACAATTTCTTCAATGAATTATACTTTCTTTGAGAATTGTTTTCCTAACATTTAATATCATGGATTTCCGCAAAGTTACGCGTGATTCTATAAATTAATTGTTTTCATGTTACTAAAACATGTAGATAATTATAAGATGTTTATTGATTATTTTTTCCATGACTACACGTACCTATATTTAGAATGTATTTAAAATTTTACCCTCGATAACTAGTGTTTCGTCCCTGCTTCGCACGAATTCCCAATAGTATCCGATTTGGTACCGAATCTCCGTTTAGAACTGAACTAATAATATTGTCCATATATCTACGACTCCAACATTTTCTTTCATAAAGAACTTCTCCTGTCATAAACTTATAAAACATATATATTAAGTAGTTATACATTCAGTTAATAAAAAAAATCCTTAACACTATAGAAATTATTCACTGAGAACCATTAATACAATTTAATTTTAAACAATCTTGTATTTAAATTTTCAAGTTCACTGGGTATTTTATTCGAAATTCTTATACATAAACAAATACAGCTCTTTTATTATATTAAGCTAATCTTGGACATGCCACCCCGCAGTCCAAAGCCAACCTGTGGGGGTCACGCCTTCTAGAACCCAAATTACTTTCTTTCGTCAAAAAAAATCTTGTGACACAAACATGCAAGTTTCTTAAATATACACGATATTTACATCTGTTTTATTTTTCATAGATGTAACATAATTGTTTTTTTTTTAATTTAATCCACAAATGTTTTACTGGTAAAAATAATTAAAACTTTATTCATTAGGTATACGTTAAAAAAATCATAATCACAGACCCACGCCCACACAAATTTACACACACACATGCACAAAATGCACCACCATATTATTTTCAATTCCAACTTAGTTAAAAAGAGTGAAGTTAAAATCTAATTGGCGTACCCGAGAACACTATTGAAATGATATTTGCCAAAACGGTTACAAATAGCAGTAACTTCCACATTGTCACAAAATGTATCCGAATGTTTTATCAGCCACCTTTTATATGAACTGTCTCACTATTTTATACTCTTTTAATTTGCGGATGTTACATTTTATAGATCTACTTTGTACGTAGTGTTTTATTTCGTTTGATACTTAATAGATCATAAAATCAATTGATTATTTGTTTGTCACTCACCTAGCTGAACTATTTGACTCTCTATGTAGGTACATAATTAACTGTTTTACTTCTAAATTACATACATAAGTTTTGAATAATAATTAGCCATGACCACATTACGTGAGTACTGATGTAGATGTATTTTTTTATATTGTTTTTCCAGGTTCAAGGGTTGTTACAATTAATCCCACGCTGCTTATATAGGTCACATCTTTATATTTTATTTATTCAAAATATTTGCAAGACCTAATGCTAGAGTTTGAGTCATTGGTATTGTATTGCAATAGCACAATTGGTTTTATCTTAATTGGAATTCAGTAAGTCGAGTCGGTCAAATCTGTGGATTCTTACATAGTGAAAGATTTGTCCAGCAGTTATTAGCCTTGATTGTCCACATACAATAAAAATGGTTAGCGATAAATAGAGAAAATATGTAGAACTTCAGATGTTTTCTCAAACACAATGTATGTATGAGTTAAGTTTTCAACAAACGTGATGACGTTTGTCAAGAAGATAAAGTTTTATACGTCTATTCAAAATAGTTTAGTTTTGTTTCTTACAGTACAACTTTAAAGTATTACCTAAAATTAAGAGTATATCACCAACTTATAAGTGACCACTGCACCGCTGAGAGTCCTAGCGTTAATGATCACGCTTGCTCAAGGCGGATTGGCGATTTCAAATAATCAGGAATTAGAAAACCAGGTTTCCTCATGATAATTTTCTCTGTCGAAGTCTGAATAACCTTGAAAGTACATATAAAGATACAATGGTATTTAATTTGCCAGGTTTCGAACCCGCTCCCATATGCCTGCGGATCAGGTGGCTTAACCTCCAGTCCACCACGACTGTCTAGGGTCAGCAATCCAAAATAGCAAGTTACGGACGGACTACAGGGAAACATTTGTATTATTCTAACAAACATTTTTAAACAAAAACAGACACGTCAACAGCAATTTCAGAAATAAAAAGGGATCCTATTTATGGTTGTGTACAAGCGTTTATCTTTAAAGTTTTCTAATAATGGACTGTAGCTAAATGGCGCTGTCAAAACTTTACCGCTTTATTTTAGAGAATAGCCGCGAAACGAAATCATTTAACGTTGGCAGTCAGTTCAGTCCTGGTAAAGGATAAGTACCTGACTCCTCGACTCGTCTCTTCATTTTGACGTGAAGGCAAGGTTCGTGCCGACTTGTTAGTGTTTTCTGTGTGAAGTGCCGCATCTATACGCCTATTATATATAGTTCGTAGGTCTTTGATTGATGTTCAAGGAAGTGTGAAAGTTTGGAGAGCATAAGTGCAGAGTTAGATTCATTTTAAAATTGTTATTTTTAAAAGACATTTTAAATAATAAAGAATCGGGACAATGTCTGTTACGAATGTGTTTGGGGAAATTAAGAAAGAATAATAATAAGAAGAAATAATAATAGATAAAAGCGAAATAGGTACAAAGAATACTTCAGTGGCAGATGAGAAGTATGGGTTTCATTTTAATTGCAAAAGTTAATATGATACACTAAAGCCTCTCAATAGTTCTTTCACAGTTTTCTTACGGTTACTACTTACAGTACTTTGGTCTTAATCGATTCTATTCATTAACTTTATCGTAAAACAAAAATAGCTATAACAACAAAACTATAAATTCAATTATTCAATACGCACAACCAAGTTTCAACTATTTACCTTGCTTCACTAACAATTCATTTGAAAACAATCTACGTGCATATCCGTTACTCACTAATCATTTCGGCAATCAGAATCGCTTCAACGCGAACGCAGCTAATGGAAATAGTGACTACCTAGCCTAGCCATACAGTCGCGCTGAATGCATGAATAGCGTCGGCCTACCATGAATAATTTCGAAACGATATGTGGTTAATAAAGATGGTTTTCCTCATGAGTAGATGTTTACTCACAGTTCGTTATTCAGTTGTATAAACATTGTTTATTGAATTTCCCATTTTTAATAGCTACCTAATATTTAATCGTTTAATTGTGTTGATTATGACTTTACTTTCATAAAAGACTGGAGTTGCTTAATAATATAGGGGGCCTCCGCTTTTAATAGGAACGGGTTGCTTTTTTTTTAGTCAGTAAGAGTCATATACTCCCTCTGCCCCGCTAAGGGCGGGATACGTCATTAGACGATCGTAAAAAATAAGATAGTTCTATATGTACTATGTAGAGTCCAATTCTCGAATCTAGATTTTAAAAGAAGCAACGTAAAACCATTCCATTCATGATTAACAAAAATTATAAGTCCATGCTAAGAAGTGTTCTATTATTTATGGATCTTAAACAAAATAGTGTTTTAAAATGCTCGTGTAGGCTCGTAATCATGTCACTTGGCATTATTTTAAACGTTAAATTACAAGTTTGCCATTAAAAAAGTACCTAATCATATTTTACGTGTAATGTTTTCGTAATTTTATAGTAGGCGAGTGCAGCGAGGCAGCGGTTGATTCAAAAAGCGCGTGCTTGAATCAGATACGTGGGAATGAATCGAGGGGGCGTACCACCGAAGGCACATGCTGCCTCCCATTAACTTGGTACAATTGCTCTACAACATAATTTTGTTTCCATCAAATAAATGAACTGTCGGAAATGAAAAAATAAATCAAATTATACTTCGAGTGTTGGACAAAGAAATCGTTAGTAAAACTATTATTTAGAGTTAGAGGCAAGTGAATGTTTTTCTATTTTTATTATTCGCCTTATCGCGTACCAAATTAATATTCGTAAAAATTGAAAATCTCTAGACGAAGTCGAGAGATAAGAAAATGTTTATAAAAGTAAAACTGCGAACGCTTACAAATAAATCATTTTAAATTAATATTATCCAACGTAAATATTTTACGATAGCGAAATTTATATCGGATAAGGTACGTCTTTTAAAATATTTAATTAAATTTATGCGATATGATTGAGTACCTCGTAGCAGTTACCAAATTAAAATAATTA